CATTGTGCGTTACAGTGAGGTGCTATCTCGTTTGAATAACGTTCCGCGTGGATAAAGCAGCTGATCGGCGATTCGGGTTTCCCTTACCAGTTTCTTATTAAACAAGCAGGTCAGGTTGTAAAGCTGCAGTGCTATAGAGGGTATCGGGCCAACGTTGTGTAGGATGGCACGATTTAAGTGTGTCGTAAGGTAATCTCAGCTGAGATATAGCTTGTGAGCCTTGTCAATGCTACTATTATTCGCTCGAATGCTAGGTAGGTATTGTATTGGTTGTTGTAATTCTTTTGTTCTGTCCTTGTACCGACCAATTTAAAGAGGAGGCTTAGATGCACATGCAGGATGCGGGTTTGCAGCTTTGAGCACCAGTAATCTTCAGCTTCTTTTCTCCCTTTTTTCGAGTACTCGATGTTACTAGGGAGGGTTAATAATTGCGCGACGTCCTAGTCCTAGGTACTCTAAGTATCGGTATTGTTGATATTTAACCAGAGGTAAATAAAAGATGAATTGGCGCTATCTTCTGATAGAATTTCTTCCAAAGAAATTTAGTTTCAAGCTCGGTTATTCTTGAAAAATGAACAGCTGGATCTAGATCCGATAAAATCGAGGCTGGAACTAAAACAGATGTACGGGTGTTTCGCTTTGATGTATCAATTCGACAATGGTAGGTTTTAATTAAAGTAGAGGTTGGTCCTCGCAATCCACAGAGGTAAAGTAGGCGAAGTTAAGCCTGAGGTATTATCTTCGCCGGCGCTGAACCGAGTTTAATCGCTAGGCCTTCTTGTCAATTGAGTTGTAGGACTTGTTGGCTAATGCACCGCCTAACGGAAATGGGTGAACGCGTACGATTTAGGGGGGTTTGAACAACCGGGAGGACAAGAAAATGAAATAAAATAAAATAATAAAAATAATAAAAAAAGGATTAGACAGCAATGAAAATTGGGGGTAGGTTTAAAGGAGAGAAAGGTTGCAGAGCTTGAGGTGCGCTTATTCAATACACCGTCTCCTAATTGCTTTGCATTCGTTTAGAATTGCGCGATGAATTTGAAAAGCCTCGCCTGGATAAAGGCAGGCCAAATTGACGACGTGATGGGCGACGTGAAAGAGGGAGGAGAAGCAAACCAACCTTGGCCACAACTAAACCATAACTTTTTCAAGAGAGATGAACATCAAATTGGGGGCTTGCTAGGGACTTGCTGGGGACCACAAGTAGGGATGTCCTTGACAACCCTTGAGAGGGAAATTAGAAGATGGTCGGATGGAGACGCCAACAAGGGGGGGGGAAGAAGAGAGGGTCCTGTCACACAGGACGGTACCGTACCATACATACATAGCGGGTATCCATAGAGGTATGTTAGGTACATTAGGTACATATTACCTCAGGTACTGCATAGCACTGCATAGCACTAATTATTGCGCTAACTGGTCCTAACTGGGGGAACGCGTTCTGTTTTTGGGCGTGTTTCTACCCGGCCAAGGAAACAACCTGCTCTATTAGGATGGTAAGCTAGTCCCGAAATGGTGCCAAGTGGGTGAGTTACCAATGCAATACGGGAACGTGGTGGTACAAACATATAGGGGACTAACCATATCAGGCAACGAACACGACGGGGTAGATAAGTCGATTAAACCATAAACCACCTTTGGAAGTCTCTAATGCCTAAGTGACAACTAAATGTAATGACGATAATTCACCATTTTCATGCAGGTACAATACAGTTTACAATTATGGGACCTTACAGTAGTGTACCTATCCAGGGCTGCCAGGTATATATCTTATCATGTAACGAGCAGAACGAGCCATTAGTTACGGCTACATTCACCGAAATACTAAGGCAAGCCAGTAATTTTAAAGAGACTTTATCTTAGACATCCGATATATGAACAGCAAGTTGTTAAGAAGTAGTATATTAGTAATGCTAGTTAACTAGTAGGTATTTATTGTACATGTTCTTCATCGATGCTATACAGATGTTGTACATTAATATAACTAACTAACTACCGTATACATGGAACTATCGCTTCTTCAAGTTTCGACTTTTTGAAATTTGGTACGCATCTCACCTAATGCACGTAAAAGGATCGTGAAGATTAATACATGGTTGATCTCCATTATGTAAGTAACAGCGCATAGAAATAACTCCCTAACCAACATACGGAATCATGCAAAACATAGCGCTTCAAGACAAAGAAAGTGGCTTACCCTCGAATTTGTTTATCGATTCCATGTCCAACATTGAACAACATCTTCCGAATCCCGGCTAAGAGAGCTAGAAACGTATGTACATATGTACATAGAAACGTAGAAACGTAGAAACGTAGAAACGTAGAAACGCGACGGGCAATCTGAAACGACAAGGATATCAGGGGTCTAAAATAAGAAAAATAGCTCCATTCCTGTACCTTAAAGCTGTAAAAAGCTGTAAAGCTGTAAGCTATCGTTTCTTTCATCCTACCCAACCTCGAAAGACAAAGGTTGCTAGGTCATCACATCATATAATACAAAATACACCCTTCTACTTAACTTCTTCTTATCTTCTTTGTCCTTAGCTTTTAACCGCAAGGCTGAACTTTGTATGCCAATTGTTGTATTTGGTAGTAGCGCTTCGTACTAATTTCGGACCAGTATCAGTTATTATGCATTGCGATAATGTTTTCTGCTTAATATTCTCTTTACAGTTAGATGCGTATTATCTAGCTTGTTGATACTTGCAACATGGTCGCGATTATGGCTAGCTTTGGTTTGAACAACTCATTGTTTGTTGTGGTCGTGAATATCGCGACCATAATAAACGAGACTTCTCGACAATCGTACGCTCCGGAGCCGAAATAGATACCTCTTTTAATCTAGCCCCAGTAAGGCTGAGACGTTAATCCAATGGTAAGAAAGGCAATATCATCAAATACCTATGTAGTAACCATATTTTCTAATTCCCATATATCATATCCAAATAAATACGTACAAAAGTTCTTCCCCCTCTAGCTCTCAACTACGGCAGATGACAGGCTCCACTCCGCTAACAGGCTGAGAAGATCAGATCTTCTTGCATTAACATCGGAGATGACCTTTCATGGATATGAGCAGGGGTTAGAGGAATAATTGAGAGTTTATTAACTTTCAGAACATGGTCTACCAGGCGGTTAGCCGAGAAAAGGGTCGGTTGGTCCGGGTCTCAATAAGCTCGGACTTCGCCCACGAAGATCGTCGTCATCGGCCCAGACTCATTCGACTCTACCGTTGTTCAATACATACGGCCAGTGAAGCCATTCCAATATTTAGGTACCGAGGCGGTCCCCTAATGCATGAGACAATTCTAGGAGCACAAAGCCTTGGTGCTTCGTGCCACCACAAAGCAGAACAGCCCAACTTAGAAACTTGGTTTCGAATTGAAATGGTCAAAAGAAATTTCGTCCTGATAATTACAAATTTCGACCAATGAAAAAAAGAGAAAACTAAAAAACAAAAAAAAAACACATTCCTGCAAACGTCGATCTTCAGTACTTAATTAAGTCTCAATATATACGTGCATATTCCGGAAAACTCAACCGAACCGATATGGTATAACCCGGAATTGAGGTTTCGGGTTCCATCGAATGAAGGTCAAGTCGAGGGCAAACTATTAACTACCTCCATATATTTAACCTAGCATGTACATAGCGAAATTCAGGAACCCGTTTCTTCAAACCCTTAATAGCGGGAGCGTTTAAAATATAAATTGGTGGGGAATACTTGACCTAAATGTGTCTATATGTAAGCTACCTTACGATCGTGGATCACTTCGGGGGTCAATCTATGTAATATAGGTTTGTACATAATAAAATATAGATAGGTAACCTAGATATTATCATTGCTATACCCAAGCGTGACGATCACCCGTGATCCGACCTTGTCTTTGCTTCTTCCCAATTGCCACTAACTAATTGGACAATCAACGTGTAGCAGAACCGGTGGGACTATGCAGATAATAATCTGAGGGTGGAAGCGAATTCGTTGCGAAGACTACCTACATGTAAGGTAAGCCACCGGTTTGTAACACCACTAACACTACGCTGTGGCCTATTAGAAACTCGCCATCGTAAACGGATGGATTACCTACCCAAGATGTAAAGTAATTCGTCTAACAAATGATTAGGGAGAACCACATTATTATCACTTAGAAAGTATCATAATTGAGAAGTGTGATTACATCGACTTGATAACGTTACTAGGTGATATCAATTGTGCCCAAAATGACACACGGCCTGCTTCGATAGGCGCCTAACCTAGATATATCCTATCATCTTATTTAAGCATTATATCTGAAAGCCAAGCTACTAGGTTAGTATCTAACATAGGTAGGTATATACCCGCATCGCCTTAGTAATTCAAATTCAAGTTCAAGTCGAACAAATAAGGTAGACATATACACAAGAGACTCAAATAGCAATAAATCTATAACTCCAAACATGTATAAAATTACTCAACTAATATCAATCTAACTAGTTACTACATCAAGGATTCTCCACGAACCAAGACAGACAGAGATGAGATGAGAGAACCTTAACTTAACTAGCAAAGACTTGCTCTTTATCTTTACGCCCATACAGAAGTCTATACACCCCACGAAGCTTTTGGAAGGCGAGAAGGTACAGCAGCACCACCCGACTGAGTGACATTTTATTCCGAGTCTTTAAAGCTTTCATGAGATCGAGACGGGGTGTGTGTGTGTATGAGGAGACATCTACGTACGGTAGCTGAGCGTTGAACCCGGGGTCTTTTAATATGACATGGGCAGATACCCCCTTAACAACAAGTCTCTTATCGGGACGAAATGACCTCTTTGTGGTTCTTTCATCTACCGAATGAGAACTGGAATTGTTTGGCTTTATACCCCTTTATAAACATTCAAGTATCTGTTACCGCACAAAAAATTAACACAATGGCATGGAAACTATGTTGTCCCAGGTAATCGGGATGATGTCAGTGGATAGCAAAGTTCAGAATCTCGGTCTAATATCTATACTCATAGCTTAATAGAGATATTCCAAGCATCTAACGTAACCGCAAGTGCCGTAAGAACCGCGGCATATCCTACCAATATGCCCATAGTGACAGTCGGTCCGACATCCAAAGTAGGTACCGTCATGTTTACTAGTCCTGTGAGTAGATTTGCGACCAAGAAGATTGCTAGCCCATTCCTATTAAATGCTCGTAACACCCTACTCGTAGCTGTCTCGTATGCCTCCTGTTCTGTCTTCGTGTCCGTAGCATTATAGAACGACGGAAAGAATACGCTCTCTATAACGCAACAGGCTAGTAACTGGGACGAGTTAAATGCAGCAATCCATAGGACATAAGGCAAGTTAGCCAATCGCCGAGACACATCTAACCCTGCGCCATAACTGTAGTTCGTCGTAAAGAAGTAAAGAAGGGCCCAGATAGATGTCCACACGGTCATAGTTAGGACCAGAGTAGTCCGCTGGGTGCTGCTACTGGTTCCGCTGCGCGGGTTGATACTCCTGGGCAGTACGTACATACCGGTATCCTGGCCTGCTAAGAAGATAGCAAGGTATCCAAAGAAGCTACATATACCTTCTTTATTCATAGAGATGATATCCGTCCGTGGTGCGATAAGGATAAATGCTTTCAGACTTGTGGTCTCTAGCACAGCCTGATAAATAACACCTAGTAGAATAGCAAGGGCCGCATAGGACGGAATTATCTTTAACGCCGACTGAAAAAGCGCGACGAACGGAGGAAGAAAGCCTAAGGTGAAGAAGAAATTCCAGTGCACGCCGTACTCGGTTACGTGCTCGGCATAGTCGAGACCTTTGACGCTTATAAGGCGAATGACGCCGAGAACTAGTAAAGGCAATGAATGCCTCATCGCGTATAGTAGCCTCTGGAGCACCGGTGTCGTCCTACCCTCTGCTCTCTCCTTAAGAACCGGACGCGCGGCAACGACACCCGCCGAGAAGACAAAGGAGCCTACGCCCACGTCCATCAACGAGGTGCCCCACGTCTCAACCTTTGCGAACCTTCGGGGGAATATCCTGAAATCTACTGCTAAAATCGCTAAGCAGGTAGTAATCATCATAACTCCACGGTAGGTCGTAAGGAACGGCTTGGTAGACAGGACGCTCAATGCGCCCGGCGACTTCTGAGCTTGCGCATTGGGAGGGAGTTTAGGCTTCTTTCTCGACACGGCAGGGTTCGAGGGCAGGGCGTAGACGAATATGGCGGGGACGAGGATTAGGCCGGAGAGAAGCAATGGCTTGTCCGCGTAGAGTGTTATCGCAAGTAGAATAGCCACTACGTTTAGGAGGAAATCGATTACAAAGCTCAGGGGCTTGTACGGCTTGAAGAAAGACTGGCGAGATTGTAGAATGGACCATAGGACAAAGGCGATCTAATTAGAAAGCTTAGGTTAGCTATAGGGCTTCTCGGTGACGAATTTCATTGTTATTTGTATACGTACAGGTCCTATCGCAGTTACATAGTTTATTTCAGAGACTGAGCCACCTGATAGGCCGGACACGAAGTCCTCTTTCATCTGCTTATAGCTGGTCGCATTGGAACTCATCTTGTCTGTCTCTCGAGTAAATTACGGTAATATATAGAGTTTAATAAATTTTATTAAGGAGTGCTATCGAGAGTTGAATAGCATCGTGGCGATATAAAAAATAGATTGTGGTCTTTTGAACAGATGTCAACTCGAAATGTGTTATGTTGTTCTTTACAATAGGAAGGTTAGGTTAGGTAGCTTCAAGGTTGAGAGTTCGATTAAGTAGAGTGGGTCATTAGCTGTTTGTGCTATGAGATCACAACTCTACCTCTTTAGCTCGGCGGCTCTGCAGCTAAGCTTTATGCTTATGAGGTAATTAATTACCTATAAGTTGAATATTATTTAAACCATGTACTTGTATTGTGTATATATGCATATCTGCGTATATGAAATACATATATTCCTTTCAACTCCCACATCGTCGACAAATCAACAGATCAACAACATTTGATCGATCTATTATAAACACCTTTGCCAAAAAATACAAACCACCAAATACAAACACTCGTAGTCATGTGAAGGGTGACAACATAGATCTCTTTGTCGTAAGGCTCGGTCAGCAGAAGACTCCCGAAACCTCTTCTTCTCCCCGCCGGACTGTTATATCCGATTTCTTCATGTATAAACCCCTAAGCAAATGACAACAGCCTTCCGGGTTTCCTTTATTCTTTTACGGTTCGTACCCGTATCACGGCTCACTTTCCCTCTCAGCCCCGATAGCCTTTCTTTCTCCTTTGCCATAAGACTTGAAATCCCTTCGGGAAGCTGTATTGTTCTACGGCTTGGCGCAACGCAATGACAATCACTATATTATCTTCTTCCTTTGATTCCTCTGTTTGCCCCCTCACTCCCCCATCATGTAGAAAGAGAGAAAAAAAAAAGGAAGAGCTTACAAAAGAGGCTTTGTCCTTTATCTATTCATAGAAATATATTTCTTAAACTCGATCCTTGCGATGAGATCTTAATTATGTCCCTACCCCTACCCTACCCATACATTTTGCTTTTTCCTAATCTCGAGTAAGTCTTCCATAGAGACGCTCTAGCCAATTGAGCTGTTACCTGAACTTGACTCTGCGCTCGATATCCAATGACAAGCGATGTGAATATCTCGAGACGTCCGGGTCTCGAGCCTATATGGACTAATAGCTACCGCACCGTTAACGACATGCCTAAGACTATCATTCGGCCAACTCCCATCAGTGTGGGCCTGCCTCAGTCGCCAATATCTCCTAAGAGCCTCCAAACCCTCCCAAGCCCTAATCCAGTCCATCCCGCCTCTTATGATGGATCGATGAGAAGGCAAGACCGGGCGCTGGTCAACAGCCTTGACCAGAGAGCGGTGCCGTCCCTAAGCTCGGCACCCCTAGCTCCCATCGATGAGTACTCGCCGTCACCATTGGTCGCAAGGCTCGAAAAGATCAGCATCCTACCGCCGATGAGCATTCCCAATGGCGTACCTACACCGACTTCGTCAGATGCCTCGTCTCGGAGAGAAAGCCTGCTGTCACTAGATGGGTCGACATCAGTAACCATGCATGATGCTCCCTCGGGATATCAAGTCAGAAGTCCCAGCTACTACAATGCGGACTATCCCACATCGCCGGGTTATCCTCAAAGAGATGCAGTGTTAAGGATCCGGGACCAGCTTCGAGTTTGGGGCCCTGTCTATTTTGGCAACTCAAAGATGGCCGATGCCTTTATTATCGCCAGATCTCTACGCCAACATAACTGTAACTCCCCGACGAGCCCGGCATTCGTAAAATTACCGGCAAGTGCACCACCAAATAAGCGACTGACAGTTCGCGCCATAATCCGGCCTCAATCTCAAGATAGGCCAACATTCCTAATTCAGCGCAACTTCGACATTGATGAACTCCGGGCTACTATCCCCGATCCACCTCCACATATACACGTAAACAGCGGCCCGGACAGACAACGGTCCCCGAATAGTCAAAGTAGTGTCTCAGTTCCCATGCAGTCCAACCGTAGACGATCCAGTACCGTGCGGTCGGGCACTCTGCTGCGCTCCGACGCAAACACCTTGGATCTCGAGAGCTTGATAAGAGACGCGAGGGCTATCCCAATGCGTAAGTAGATATGGGCCCAAGACGTGGTTTTAAGTACAGACCAACTAACAAGCACATCTCAGACGTTCCATATGCTCGAGCATACTTACCCGTCGTGGCGGCGCTACTGACCTCCGGCCACGTCCGCGAGGGCGATGTTGTATATCTGCCTATGCCTCATGCTGAAGCGTGGCCTCAGACAGTACAATATGTGTACACAGGACAGGGAGAGCTAACGGAGGCAGTGCGGGAGAATATATTGTATTTAGCTGGGAAGGTGTGATTATGCCGATGTTTGTTTTATCTAAACAGGTAGCTAGCAGGTAGCTTTAGCTTCGACCTAGAGAGGGGATTCGTGGTAAAGAGATAGTACCCGTGTGTAGATATGTGTTGGAGTGGATGGTTTGGTACATAACATGGATGGGAATAACGAGGATATGAATGGACGTGGTGTTTGGAAAATAAGTGGTCGAGTTTATCTAAGGCAAATAGCATTTCTCCTAGGCGTCATATCTTAATACCCAATATTCAATGAATACTCGCTCGGCTGGCAAACAGTCATCTACTATTCCCAGGCCTAAATAAAACCTGTACCTTTAACTTAGGAGATATATTTCACTTTAGGAAAAGGTCAGGTTGGGCACCATATACATACCAGTCAAGTCCAAATTACGTAGACTTAATTAGGTTAGGTACTTACTATCACTGCACATAGGTCATTATCGTGAAATCAGAATTGGTGAGAAATGTGTCTCTCTTCCGTACTATTATCTTCATCCTAGCTACCAAAAAAACAGTCCTAGAGTTTTAGAACCGAGCAATCATACCCTTCGCAACGCAAATGTGATTCGCCTAACTGGCCATATCCCTTTCGAAAGGGGTCAACGGTAGAAGGGCTACTTCTCCGGACAATAAAAACAAATTAGGAAACCGTGCTCTTTTTTTTTTTGTTTTTTTTTCTTTTTGTTGTTTCGGTGGGAATTATTGCTAGGATGTGAGAGCAGATGCCGATGCCAGAGTCGAGTATCGTGTATCGTTCGACTGTTGTGAATGCGTGTGCTTCTCGTATCATCCCGTCGCCAACCAGCCAGTAGTCGTCGTGCTAAATCAACGAATCACACCCTTGTGGTACTAAAGAAAACAAAGCAGAAAAAAAAACCTCAACGCGTCGGCGATTATTTTTGCCTTCCTAATAGGAGGCCACAAACGTACCCTGATGCCTGTTCTTTGCCTTCCCGAATAAGGCCCAGTAACAACATCACAAACCTCCCCTCTTCACTGATCGTCCTGGATCATTTCCAGTCTCTCATTAACCTCCGTGCCCATGGCATTAACATCCACCTCAACTTGCTCCTGCGGCTCCTTCGGGGTACACTGTCCAGCCTTAGTGTCATCAGTCGGAGCGCCAATCTCAAGGTTCTCAAGGTCGGCGTCATCGTCCAGTTCAAAGTCGCTCACGTCGTTGGTGTTCTCCTGAGTGCCATCGAGATCTCCGGTGTTTCGGGGACGGCCAAAGATGATAGTCGACCAGGAACCCTAGTACTTGTCGACGTAGTGAAGGAAGAGGATAGGCACGGCGAACATGCCGACGATGATGTAGCCACATCTAATGGCAAACATGCGAAGACCCTTCAGAAGGACCGCGTGGGCTGTGGTCTCACGGTTGCGAAAGTATGTCGCGACTACGACCAAGAGGATAGGCAGTAGGCAAATGATAGTGAAGATAAGAGTGTAGGAAGGGCCGCTATTGACCTTTCCATCGCCCTTGGCCACGCAGGCGGTCGGGGGGCGCGTGTTTTCAATATCCATCGTATTGGTAGATCGATTCTATCGAAGCACCAACGTTAGTTATTGAGCTTCTTATTTAATATCTCTTTTCTTTATACATACTGAGTAACGAGTGAAGACTTGTAAAGACTCGTAAAGAAATGTACGAACGGTGACGCGAATCGAGATGGCGTAGGCGAAAGAGAGATGGTTAATAGGTATCGCCGACCTTTTTGTTGGATGTGTAATAAGAGTAGAACGGGATCCGAATAATAAATAGAAGTGGCGGTTGAAATGTAAGTCTGAGTAATTAGGGCTTTTATGGCGTGACCTTAGAGCTCTTGTTGTTAAAAGAAAATAACTTATTGTGTGCGGACGACCCGTGTTATGTTAGGCATCCGCGTGACTTGCTCCTTAGGCAACGAGGTGAGCCCTCAAATTCTGTTGTGCAGCTACCAAACGGCAGGAAGGTCCAAAGTAAAGTCAAGTACGATTACCTAGTCGAGTATGAATGTGCATGTGTGTGTGAATGTGTTTGTGAATGTGTTTGGTTATTCGTATATTCGTATATACCTAGATAGGTTAGGTACGCAGCACATTATAAGAAGTGCGGGACTCATAGGAACGTATACCTAAAGAGGTAGTAAATAACCTCTTATCCCCTCTCTAATCGAAACTTCCACCCCATAAGTCACGCCCTATGATTATGACCAATAGAATGCACCTAATTATGCAACGGTACCTATGCAATTCCCCTTCCCCTTTTCAATGAGTAACCCGTCCTCCGTGATGCGTATATATACCCAGGTTCCCCCCCTGAGCCTTATGTTTGATGATATGATTTCCCCTTAGACTAATTATATTCAGCCTTATAGGTATCCTAAGCCCGTTTCTGCCTGCTTGCCTGACCTCTCCATCCGAAGACAATTGCGCCTAAGGGACAAACCCGTCCATGCATAGGACCATGAAGATTAGATGACGACCTTGTGATAACCCCTGAAAGACAATGATCGGCTTCATAGACATACAAACTTCCTCCCCTCCTGAGCTACTCTTTCCACACAACATACTCGGACGTGGCGCTCTGTATATGCCTTCGATTCGTTAACGGCTTCCTCTAAATTTTGGCACCACTCCAACTTTGCTCTGGCATCCCAATCAGCGACGGAGAGCTCAACTTCTAGGTGTTGGAGTCTTTTCAAAAGCTTCAAGCCAGTTTCTATCCATCCTGCCGCGTTACCATCCGAATCCCGTATCTTTACAGTTGGAGCCCCTTTCTGTGGTGGGCCAGCTACGACCCATGACATCCCTCCCGTTGCTGATGTTCCCCCTCCTCCTCCACCATTTAGAATCTTTAGTCTTAGCCCTTTTAGCCCGGGGGCCCAAGCTTCACATAAGTCTCTCCAATCTTCTAAAGACCGCCCCATGAGGTCCCGCGATAGAAGCTCCAGACGAGCGTACCGCATCGTTAATTGCCACGGCTGCAGCCCTTTCATAAACGACCGTGCCGCCCATAACCCCGACGTGAACCAGTTGACGAATACAAATTCGTTTTCTAGGAACGGCAAATGCCTACTCTCGTGATAAATTTGCCGGTTTGCTATCAGTATCGAGGTTGGCATACAGCAATTCGGCCGATAAGGAGAGAGCAGCTGTGGTCGCTCTGCTATCTGCTTCTGGTTTCCAGCAAGGTCCTTCGGTATGCCGAAGTTAGACCGTGACGAATCTGTTTCTGTTTCTGTGTCCAACGCTACGGCTTTGACATGATAAGCATGATAAACCGGGTTGGGGTACCACGGCGCGAACTGCGTCAGCTGGATGGGAGTCATAAGGTGCACCCAACGGTAAATCTGCAATCTAATCTCCAGGGGCAATTCCATAAGCGGGAAGAAGCCTTCATCTTCGGAGCTGGTGGCCGAATCCATCTCATCTTCCGAACATCCGTCGTTCGAGATCTCCCCTAGCATGAGGGCTTCAAAATCGGAAAGTGTTTCTTTATTGAGATTTTCCAGCTTGAGTGATCTGAATTCGGAATTATCAATGGACCCCGTCGCAATCTCCCTTTGTTCAGAACAATGGTCCAATCCCCACGCAGTAACGTTTCCTCCGACCCAGTTACTATCGTCAAATTGGTCTAAAAGCATATCCGGAATGGATGCCGACACGGCGGTTCCTAGCTGTTCTATGTGATTGACGAGTAAAAACTATACTAGTTAACATAACGTATAACTAAAAAGGCGAAAGGAACAGGAAGATTCGACCAAGTGTCCGGGAGACGTGGCGGGAAGCAGGACGGTAAGATATTTATAAAATCGAAGCCGAAGCAGCTACGTCACTTGGCTGCTTATGAGGCGGTAGTTTATACGATGGATATATACTGAGTGATTTGATATGAACAGGGCTGTCGTGTCTTAGCCGTATATTATAATCAGCCAGCCACTGACCGCCAATCAAAAAAAGTACCAAGGACCAATCAAGGTTCAGCCTGTCAGCGACGATATTGGACCGGCTATAGGAACGAAGGAATTGGCCAGGTGGGAAACCCGCTGGATATAACATCAGCTTACAGGGAGGCCTAGTCACGCTTTGGCTTTTGGAGAGCCGCTCTAGGCGTCAGCTTCCCGTCATCATCTAGGTCGCGGCAATACGACGGCGGGCCGTTTTGGAAGGGTGCAAATCTGCGAGTCAGCATCGAAATATTTAACGCAGCGAATAACACAGTTCGTAGGTATCCTAGCAAATTTATTCCGATTGGGCTCCCTTGCTCTCGATCTCCCTTTTGGAGATTCAACACGTATTAACTTGCGCCGCTTGGGTATTACTGCATATATAGGATTCGAAGTCGCAGGTTTGATTAAATAATGTGAACTCCCTAACTCCCTAGGTAGGTTTGCTCTACCCGATTCTGTGCGATATCCGCTGTTATTCTTTTTATTCTTTCTTTCACCCCACGTTCGTCTCGTCCATCGGGCCGCTTCGGTATTTCCAAAATCAAGATGCTGCAGCTCAACGAACGTGCGCATAGGCAGTCAGATCTTGTTGCGCTTACGTATAGCCGGGATTAATGTCATCTCTGGCCTCTCATAGGGCTGAACAGGTCACACCAAATGTGTCCGTGACCGGTCAACGAAACTCGGTGATAATCATGCGTGGGACGGTCTTACTAAAAGCCAATCTCGACACTATATTGCGGCTTATGTGCATATTGAAATGAGGCTCAAGAACGGGAACCCGAGCACGTTTTCGTCGCTTATTGATGCAATTAGTTTGACGTGATAAATATTTGAAATCAATAATGAAATTAATTGGCTGAATACCTGTTTAATTACCTACTCATTTTGTAATTGGTGACCGAGGCCGCGTACTTGGCGGGCAGCGTCGGATAGTAGCGTCAACAAAACCCCAACCGCTGCTATAAAAGCCTCGGAGTTTACTATCCCTAGAATTAGATATTCTCAGCTCTTGTAACACTTATGTCCGTTTTACTGTCAGATCGTCGTTATCGGACTATCATCGGAGGTGTAAGAAGTCTCGGGTAAAGTCGCCCATCTCTTATAACCATACTACCCGATACACCCATTCTCGACTTGGTAATGTCATACCGTAAACAGAGTAAGGTTGGGCAAGATTTTATCGTAAGCTTGTATGGCCCCTAACGGGTAACAAACTCTCCTCTCGCCGCAAAACGCATAATGTTCTCTAGCGCTGCTCCCTCAATTTCCTGGGTCACGACTGCAGGTGCTGGAGGTGGAGGCGGGCGGTCGATGATCATAAGGTCGTCGTCCTGGTCTTCATTCACCATCCCTCCTCCTTCCTCATCATCCTCATCTTCGTCCTCCTCTTCATCCTCGAGCGATCTTTTAAGTCCCGTCCGTACATTCTCAACACCCCGCTCGCGCTCCTCTTCCGTGAACATGTCATCACCTTCGTTTATCACGTAATCTCTCATGCGCTCCTCGCAGAAGTCGCGCACAGAGTTCCATATATTTTCCAACTCCTCTTCTGGACCCTTTTCAACGCCTGTACCCGCGCCTATAAGGCCTTGAGAAGTTGGTGGCGGAGCGAAGGCCGCAACCATGTTTCTTCCCTCATCCATAGACGTCGCGATGTCCGGCTCCGGCTTTTTGCGTAGTAGTCTTTGGAGTATCATCTCCTGGGTACGCCCCGGGAAGTTAGTTGATGGATGCACGGCAATGCGGCTAAAAATCTCAGCAGCAGGCGACGTGACACTGAGGAGGCTCTGTATCATGCTCTGTAGAACCTCCGTGTGGGTCTGAAGTGATTCTCTACGATGGGCATTGATAAGTACCTAAGTAAGTAAGTAAGGTAATAATAGAAAATACGCACAGATTAGGTAGCGGATTGTTGATAAAGACATCGGATTTCAGGCTCGCGATGCTACTGGATATCTGCGAGAGCCGCTGCCGCGTCTGCTCGATAGCTCTGAACTCGTCTTGAGTAAGGTTAAGCGACGCCATGGTCTATGAACGATAAGCCAAACGTGGTAAACAGTAATATGACGTTTGGGATGTATATCAAGTAGTATAGTGCAAGGTCTATACGATTTAAAGAATGTGGCGTTAGGCAGCTTGGGTTTTGAATGGGGTTTTCCAAATGCGACGCGATGTTGAAGATCGACTTAAACTGACAGCTTCTCCAACTGCTACTTGCCAATTGACAAATGACAAATGATAATCACATTTACCTAATACAGTGCTATTTTCAGTATGTACACTATATACGGAGCCTTCCATTGTGGCAGCGTGGCTGTAGGTTCTAGAAGTTACACAGAGCAAGCACGGACGGGACACTCCCGCCATTTATTAAGTGTACACCCCTATGTTCAATAATTGGAACCCCCGAGTTCCGATAGCCGAATGTAACATGTACGAACAATCCACTTTAGAACAGGGGTATGCTCTTATCAATCCACGATTTTCAGGGTCCACTGACGTCGCATTTAGGTATTCGATGCTGCATGTGATAACACGGGCAGATAGAAAAAAAAATTCAGTTGAGTTTCAATTGCCTATCAACTTCTTAATTAACGCACTTATTTTCAAAGATAGGTATCTAGCGCATTAATATTGGGGGGTTTTTTTTTTCTTTCTTCAATCCCATAAAATCACTCATCCGTAACTCGTCGCTAAATCCTAATCAATAACCACCGTAGTTTTCAGACTGAAATAGTCCTTAAATATGCTTAGGCGCCATAGATGCATCACCACCTAACTGGGCCCTCATTCATTAATCCCCAACCAAAACCATGTCACGTTTCATGCCATAAGGGGAGCCATAGAAGCTGACCGCTACTCGCCATGTGAGCCGGCTTGATCTATGAGAATTCTTCCGGTCTCCCGACCATACTTGTCTACAGGGGGGTATCTTGCGCGACGCTCCAGATCGTCGAGGGGCAGGAAAGATCGAATATATCTAAATAATGCTGTTAGTGTTAAGAATATAAATATAAGTTGGAGGGATCTCTTACTTCGAAGTGCCATTATCGCCGGGATTATAATCCCATGCCTCGAACTTGCCCTTGTTCAAAGCACCCCACACAAGTCTTCGTGTCCGCTGTGATAGTACTACTTGTTTCGTGATGGCATCGAAGTCCCACCGAGCCTTGGCCTCGATTTCGAACTTCTCGAACTTTTCTTTCGCCTCTTCTTCCTCAGGAGCAAGTGCCTCCTTGTTAACGAGCTGTGCTAAGTTAACAAGCTCGAGAGGGTCACGCTCGAGGTTGTAGAGTTGCGGCGGGTCTGTTGGACACGTAATGTACTTCCAAGGACCACGTCGAATCATCATGTATGGGCTAATAGTTCCTTCACCTGTATACTCGGCAATCACAGTATCGTGACCCTCTCTACCCTCCAAGTGGGGGAGAAGCGAAAGACCATCCATGGGTAAACCGGGAATAGGCTTGGTACCGACGAGGTCGCACAACGTCGGGAGAATGTCTAGAGTTGACACATTCTGCTTCACGCGATGAGGGGTGAAGCGCCGAGGGTCGGAGATCAAGAGGGGTACTCGTACTGATGACTCGAAGTAACTCATCTTGTACCTATATAATATAATAATTTAGCAATCAAATTTTCAACTTGAGTGTATGCTTCTTTCTAACTTACCACAAACCACGTTCTCCAAGCATGTCACCGTGATCCCCGCTGAAAACCACGATAGTATTCTCATCAAGTCGGCAGTTTTTGAGCACGCGAAGAATACGCCCAATGCAGTCGTCAACATAGCTAACCGCACCGTAGTATGCTCTTCGAGCTCGCTTAATCTGGTCATCTGTGAAATTCTCATCCCAGAGGTCGCACACCTTCATCAGCCGCTTGCTGTGGGCATCCTGTTCCTCCTTAGGAATCTTGACTTTAGGCAACTCAATGTCTACGTCATCGTATAGATCCCAGTACTTTTCCTCAATGGTGTACGGGTCGTGAGGGTGGGTAAGAGAGACTGTCAAGCAGAACGGCCTCGAGTCTGGCCCTTCGCGGACCTGGTCGTACAGGAACTGAGTTGATCTGTACATAACCTCCTCATCATAGTCTAATTGGTTGCTTCGCACACAAGTGCCCGCTTGGAGGATAGAGCTCGCGTTGTGATACCACTCCAACCGCCTATCAGGCTCATCCCAGTTGACAGCCCAGCCAAAGTCGCCAGGGTAAATATCACTGGTGAGACGAGTTTCATAACCGTGAAGCTGGTCTCCCACGAAATGCATCTTGCCGGCTAAAGCAGTGTGATAGCCCTTCAGGCGCAGATAGTGAGCATAAGTGGGCACATCGCTTCCGATCTGCGAAGCATTGTCGTACGCCCCAATTTTCATGGGTAGTTGACCAGAGATCAAACTCATACGAGAGGGGGCGCAGAGGGGAGAGGGGCAGTATGCAGAGTCGAACTGAACAGACTTGGATGCTAGGGCGTCAAGATTAGGAGTCTTGATCTGAGATTCCGAGTTGTACATCTTGAGCAACGGAGCAGCTAACTGATCCGCCATGATAAAGAGAATATTAGGAGGGTTCTCGGAAGAGCCGTTGGTACCACTGGTGCCATTGGCCACTGGCGGAGCTGCTTGGCGAGGGCCATCTAGACTAGGTTCTGACCGCGGTAGAGAATTAATATCGGGAGCCATTGTGACGGTATTACAAGGCTGAGAGATTATGTTGGAGGAAGAGGAACTTGAACAAGACTGAGCAGAGTTGATTTAAAAGAGATTGGCTCAGTTTTGTATGCAATGTCTATAACAGTAGAAGAGGTTATAGATAATACAGAATAGTTATAGAAAATAAGAGAAGAAGAAAGAGGTGTGGGAACAAGGCTGTTTATAAAGATAGCTAGTCTAAAGAAGTTGACTAGGAGCCCAACAGAACTGACAATGTATCTAGGCACTATCGGAGATGAAGATCGTGGAGCTGGCTAAAAGTGCAGGACTTACAAGGGAGCCAGTCGGAGTTATGGGTTGACTACCTATGTACGGAGGAGAAATTAGAAAACGTGTTATGAGAAGGACTATTTAAAAAGGCCAAGACTAGGTGAATATAAGTTTCGGCAAGTGAATATATGTACCTAAAGTATTTATGATACAATAAATACAATGAAGCAAGAAAATAAGTACATAATAAAGTATCGTTCGAAAGGAATCCGTATGTAAAATTATTGTTGGAAAGATGGTTTAGTGGGAAGAGATAAATCGGATCGTTTGACTGGCGTAATCATAGCTAACGATGGCGAAAAGTACGCTAAGTGACACCGCTGTTTTTCCCCGTGGAGCAGATTTATTGATAAGAATACCCTACCGCTATACCTAGTCGAGAAGTAGCTCAGGGGGTCTATAACAATTAACCTATCAAAAGCAAGTATCTCACCCACCTTTTCCACATTCGGAACTTCATCGTGTGCATGATTCGCCTAACAATGTAAGGGGTAAACATTTACAAATATCACCCCTCGGCGTATATAAATCATCCTCGTGCCCCTTGTCGCACGACTTTTATTACTTCTTAACGCCTGAATAATGGATAAGCTATTCAGACTAAAATGGATCCTGGGAAATCTGGGGATTCGAATACCGTAGTCGTTATCATCATGTCGCATATTAATAGCACCAAGACGGACTAAACATATTGTTATCTGATTCCGTAGTACCTAACTAATTTCCAGAGTACCGAGTACATCCGCCTACAATCCGCATCCATGGATGTCTTTAATACATACCTCATACGAATATCTTTAGTCACTAATAAGAATGAATTACATCAGCCCCGATCACGTCAGAGTCCACACGGCTTGCGCGAGACTGTCATGCATCTGCTTTTGGCTTTGAAACTCAACACCTTTTTTTTTTTTTCATACCTGGCAACAAAGAACATCGAGTCCTTAGGTAAGTATCCAAGCGGGCACCTATCGAGAATCGAACTCGCGCGCATGTTTCGAAAACAGCGGGAACAAACGACAAACGTGGCGATGCAGCAAGAAAACAACTAGTTCAACCACATCTCGGGCTGTTTATCAGTAAATCCATGACCATCCATGACTATCCATGACCAACAACAAGGTCTGATGTGACTCCCAAGTCCGATCTGCGTCGGCTATCGGTCTTGAATCCTTCTCATACTACCATCTTGCCGTCTTCCCATAACTGATCCATTTCCCGAATAGATCCGGAAGCGGAGTCGAGAGAGATTTTTCGCTTGCATATTAGATATGTAGATACATATTATCACACTGCTCATAGCGCTTAACCATGCAGATGTCCCTGCCAGGTTTTTCTTTTTCCTTAGCTGATAAATAACGGCAGACGCCAGGCCAAGCTCGGGTACGGGGATTAGTAGCACATGACATGATAAAATCTGTTTTGATAAGGACCACATTGCTACCACGAGTGGTAGAGCATGTAAGAAGCTGTGGTATAACATACGTGTATTACAATAGTTGATGTCTAAAAATCATTCCTACTCAATGAAGTCGGTTCAGGACGTAACAAGAATTCAGCCCCTGCGTCGTGTCGACGGCCCCTTACTTTTAGGGGTAGCTGTAGAAACGCTAGAGCTCTGAGCGGCAGCTGGAACAGGAGTAGCCTCCTTCATCTTCCCTCTAACCTTAGCTGACGGCGCATTCCAGTAGTAGACCATCTGCGCAGCCAAGACCAAGTTCAGCGCAAAGCCTGCCACGAAACCGTATAAGATCAACTTGTCGTCCACCTCTTGCAACGTCGTGAAGATTCGAGAGAGCGAGCCGGCAAGATAATTGAAGACCTACATGCCATGTTAGCTTAACCTAATCTTGGGATTCAAGTATAAAATATAGAGGGGACTTACTGTAAAGGCGCTGAGCTGACCCGTTCCACCTGCCTGGTAGATAGCAGCAATTTGAGGCACCTTGCTAGCTACGCCAAGCACTCCCGCGCCGGCCTGCAGATAGCCCAAAGTCTGCATATCGAGTATTCCACCGTTGAACAGCGTGACAACGCTCGTAGCCAGGGCAGCAACAAACAGCGCTGCTATGCTAGCTCTACCGCTGTAATTCAAAACGAGGACGGTGATGATGACATTCTGGCCGAGGATCAAGGCGGTCTCTCCATAGGTGCTAAAGGGAAATTCGTTGCGGAAGTTATAGGCGAGCGAGATGAGGTAGGACGAGGTCTCGAGCAGATACGATAGAAAGCTGACACCGGACGAGGATTGCGATTGGACAAGCTTGATGATTTGGGGAACCTTGACAATAGACGATGCGCCGATGATACCAATACCCAAGCCTTTAGAGATAGCTAGCTTAAGGCATTCCGAATCCGTAGGATCAAGATCGAGAATCAACGTCTTGTAGCAGGTCTCGCCGATGATAGATACGCCTAGGTCGCGAATGGGAGTAGGTAAGTTGTTCGTAATGGGCTGCAAGGGTTGCAGCGCAGTTTTCAGTGCCTCCATCGCGGTCTCTTCTATTTCCCAACTAGATGCAGGAATCTAGTTTGTCTGGACTCTATAGGTACCTAGTCAGGCTGTCTGAAATAGGTAGTTGTGTCGGTAATCAGGCCAGATATACAAACTAAAAAGGAGACTTGATGAGGCTGAGATAAAATAAAATTTCCAACAAGGCTTAACATAAAACGTCCTGGCGCGATAAAAATAACACGCCACGGTACGTAATAATCATGTCTAAGTTGGCAGCTTGTGACCCTGTCATCTGGGTTTACGGGGATGGACTAAGCCCAATCAACCCTAGCTTTGAAGCCTAATGTTTGTAGGTACTTAGATACATGTACATGTACTCAGGCACGTACATAAGCTTTGTGGCTGGTGTAACCTCCAGTGACTGTAAGTCCAAATCAGCATTTTTAACAGCATGTATTATATCGTCAATAGTCAATAGAAATACTAAAGACTTTATCACTATAATATTATTGAATATTATTTTCAGAACTTAAATTCACTCTAAGTAAGCTATTCACAAGAAGTTTAGGATAACTGAGTAGCAATTATTTTCTACTCTCACTCTAGGAAGACCTGCTAGTCAGTTAATCAAATGGGTAACACACATATTCCTCAGGAAACTAGATTTTTAAGTACATAGTTTTAACCAAGTAGGCTCCCCTATAAACTTACGCTAGTGACTGCTGTGTAACCCACGGCATCTTCATCCGACCCCCGGAAAAGACCGGTTTGCTTACGATCTCCGGTGCCGGCATAAGAAAAGTAAATAGTCGAATAAATATTTCTAGGAGATAATTATGTTCATTTACATAGCCTGATCATACAAGATACCTCTATTACTGAAGTAAATTTAACCCTCGACTTGGCATCCAGTTTATAATACCCAAGAGCCTAAAGAGTGTAACTCTTAAACCCACCTCCTAAACGAGGCCAACCATATAAACGAAATTAATAATACTTAGTAGATTTGGTTAGATAGTATATTTATGATAAAAATAAGAACTATAGTCGTTTCAAGCTCTCGCTATAAATCTCAATATCAAGTAGCATATATTTGGAGTTTAGTAGGGGGTAGAGAAACGGTAGCCGAAAAAGTTGAAGAATCAAGCAACATTAACTACCGAATGAATACTTTATTCAAACAGGTATCGTTAATGACAACGCGTACATATCAAATTAACTTAGCAATTTTAAGGAAAGGAAGAAAGATTCATAATTTATCTTGCTCTTGGGCTTATGGCCTATCAATTATTGAAGGCAAATGCGAAAAAAGCATCGCAATTATTTACTGTCCCTGACAACTACATCGTACAGAGGAAAATGTTGAACAGCTATAGATTCACAAGAAGCCTAAGCTCCTTAGAAATATTAAGCGCGAACCTATTCTTCCAAGAAAGCCGCCAGCAAACTCCGTGTCATCCAACGCCTAGGTCTAGCCATTTCAAACTATTGCGTTTGTAAGGCGTCCCGTTTGAATCGTAGACATCACATCCAGATTATGGATGTTCCACCTGTATAAGGAGTTCCTAGTCCTAGATTACTTCTTGCGAGTGAGCGTCGCGTTGAACTGGGCAACTTTGCGGCGACAATGATCTAGATTTCCCTCGGGCTCCCAGGTGTTCTCATCATCGGGGAAGCCAGCCCATTTGACGAGGTATTCGGTCCCTCGAGTCTTGTTCTTTCGGGTGGCTACGATCTTATCGACCTGCCACTCCTTCTTAGCAGCTTCAGCCTTAGCCTTAGCACCTGATGGCCGGCCACGACGGGAAACGCCCGCGGACTTTGGCTTCAGGACAGCAGGCTTCGTGGAAGCGACCTTGGATTTTTTGTTCTTTGAATTGTCAGCACTCTGTATAACTAATATATATGAGAAGATGGGACTACTTACACTCGCCTCCATAATGCGGGACGTAGCGGCGGCTGAAGCAACCCGGGTAGATCGTCGCGGACCTTTTGAATGTCCCTTCTCGGCCTTGGGTGCAATTCCAAGAACGACGGAGAGTTTTCTAATGGCCTTACGATCAGGCCTAGTGTTGTCTCTCGCCACGTTCAAGACTGACTTTCCCTGGATTCGCGAAGACTTGCGAGCAGGCTGGTTGACGGGTTCAGTTTCCTCGCGAGTGCTGCCAGGTTTGATCTTGGTGTTATTCTTTACAAGTTTGCGCTGAAAATTCTGGCAAGGAGATTCCTCCAAATTGCAATTACCATTAGCATCATCGTCGGTATCATCCCAGTCGATTTCCTCTTTAACGGGTCGTAAGTAGACAACAGTAGAAAGACGCGCGGGACGTTGGGGTTGGGCGACAGCAACGTCAACGTTCCTCTCTATGGAACTAGAGTGAAGGGGACGACGTGGCTTCTCGTCAATAGTGGATGCGCCCTGGGTACGTGAAGGTGCCATTGTAGTTCTTACAGAACTAGGTATTATACCTATAAGAATGAATATGTATAGGGTAATTTTAGGGGTCGTAATTTATTGGTTGGGTAGATATTCAGGAAGCTTTGGGTGATTGGGGGGATAGTTACCGGGTAGAGAGGTTTGTTGAAAGAAAATTATGTCTGTAATGTAACTAAGGATGTGAGAATTATAAAATTTGGGAATAGAAGTCGCAATAAGAAAGGAAGGAACCAAGTAGATAGGTCGGTAGGTACTGGTTACCACGCTCTTGCCTAAACCGTTGCTAAGACTTTAGTATGTTAAAAAAAAAACTTACAGTTGTTTGAATGTTTGAATAAGGTACCTATTTATCAATATAATAAGTACCTAGATGGATATACGTTTATCATCACTTCCCTTCGTCGCATGCGATGTATCTTATTTTCACCTTATATTCATGTTGCATTCTGAGCTACATATAATAACTTGTATATAGTTGGGATTCTAGATGAGTTTTCTAGAACAAAGAATATACTTAGTATGTATAGCTACAGACAGGTTAGAGTTCCTTGCGGAATAACGAAGTTGTTTCCACGCAGTTCAGTTCCACCTCGTAACATATATACAACTATCACAAGACAGGCCTAGAACTAATCATTTAACTACTCCCAGTTAAACAGTCCAGTTTTCAGATTGAAAATATTATGAATTACTAAGATACATATGATACACTGTAAGCAAATTATCATGGAGACCTAGGTAGCTCTAAACTTCCTAAATACTACTTCAATCAGTATCCTCCTCCCCGTAATCATCAGGCAGCTCTTCAAATCGGCCCTCCTGGACAGCTGTTCGCACTGGATTCTCAGCAGAAATAACACCATTCGCTCTTAATCTGCCTAAAAGTTAGTTGATATCTACGTATTTCGGAATGAAACTTACCTTTCAAATAAGACAAACAACCGTTCTGCCTCCCTTTCCCTCTCGGCCTCAGTCATCTCGGGCTCCTCGGGATGTCTTTCGGCATCCAGGAACTGGCCCGTGATGGGGTTAACGGGTCTATTAGGTCCACCCGTGGCAGTACTGAACGCTTCTGAGGCGTTATCGGGAACCGGCAAGTTCCGGTTGAATAGGAAACCAGAGGCGAAGCCATAGCCCACGTTCTCGACAAACGTTGATGCGTCTCTGTCAGACATATCAAAGAACAAATTGGATATTATCTCTCGAAGCTGAGGCGTTAAAGGATTTGTCGAATTCTTTAAGAGCCAAGAAGGCAGGGTGCTAGTCCGGCCGAGTACTTCAGTCCTGTCGTCTTCGGTTGGCAAAAGCCTAGTGCGTATAGACTTCTTTACATCCGCAGGTGCGTGTTCATGAACTCCACGGATCACGCTAACTAGGGGCGTAACCGACGGTTCTAAGTCCTCATTTGCATATATAGTGATCGAAGCGGATAGTAGATCAACTAGATGGTTGGCTAGGGCGCTAGGATCGCTTTCGGGGAAAAGAAATGTCTGAACCTCTTTGGCGGCAATATCTAAGTTAAGGAGGGCATGGACCAATTGGCCGGTAGGGGGGTCTAGCGGTTTCTGGACTTGAAATGAACCTTTACACAATAAGGTAACGATGTGGGGTATAGTTGAGGTAAACGAGGAAACCCTGTCTTTGCAATGGTGAGTAATATTAAAGAGGAGCTTGAGTGTCTCCGTGAGCGCCATGTCTTCCATGGGATCCGTCACCGGGCTTCCGGTGGTGCGACGCTTTGCATGCCGCTCAAGATTCTTGTTAATAGTATCTGCAAGATGATGGTTATCAATAAGCTCAGTCAAGTCCGTGTCCGTGCCATAAGTCGTTAGAAAGAGTATCCTGGAAACTAGAAATTCGTCATCGCGACTATCACTCTGCAACTTGTCACACAATTTGCCTCCGTAGCCAAGGTCAACGAAAACCTGACGAGTCTCTGGCTTTAGGAGTAGCGCATTGCAGAGAACTCGCAACGCATTTCTGGATGTAGTGCTGGATGTACTATCAAATGCATGTCGGGCGAGCGTCTCTATGCCCTAAAAACCATAAGCTTATGAAGTTTTATACTGATAGCTTCTTAACTTACCTCTTTTGTAAATATGGGATCCGCATTCTGAGGATCTCTTCCGTATATCTTAAGCTCTTCTAAGGTAGAGTCGCGTTCTTAAAGCAATAAAAAAAAGTTAAGGTAGGATAACTAGATAGGTAGTTTATAATGACACCTTACGTTGAGTAGATAGATTGGCGGAAACTAGATCTCGTGACAGTTTTTCCATCAAACTTGTAACTGCGGCTAGCTTTGCTGCATATTCGATTAGAATTATGCTATTGATAGAGGATATTTAACTACTAACCAGGCCCTCTAAGGGTAGCGGCCGCAAGTATTTGCTGGCTAGGTTGAGACATTTGAGGATGGACCAGAGAGTCCTCTGAATCGCCTAACCGGTTACGAGATGATGAAAGGACTCGCCAGAACGACTTGGATTGGGGTCGACGAGACTGCTGAGCCATGGTAAGCAAAATGTATAGACAAGTTTAGATATCTGCTGATAAAATGACGGTGAAAGACATAATGTGTGAGGATGGTATGATAAAGAAGGTATCTAGGTAGTTATAATACATATACTAACTAGGTAACTAACAAATCAAACGTATGATGTTATTGATGTTATATGAGATGTCAAGAACACAAGAGTACAAATGGAGCGGGGCTGATGATAAAGATCAAATAGGAAGCAAACTGTTCGAGAGAAATAGGTTATAGGAAAATGAGGTAGTACTAATAAAAGGAAAGTAAATTATGTGTCGCCAACAATTATCTAATAGTGAACCTGTTGGTTTGTGTAAGGAAACGTTTAGGATTGACGTTAAGTTGGGATGTTGAATGAAGTGAGAGTGAGTGATTCCGAAGTACGAAAATTCGTATTGGAGGCTAGTTATGTTATTTTCTTTACCTTCGGTACTTGAGTAGAGCGTAGAGAGTAAATGAATGGAAGGTTTTCGAGGGAGATATGGCATAAGGCTGTTTCTATATGCGAATATGCGAAAGCTACCTAAATATTAAGATAGGTACACAATCGTGAAATAAAACAATAGTCAATTATTAATAAAGTTAAGCTGGTATGACGCAGCAGGGATATCGCATGTTCTCATGTTTGAACAAACTTTGAGTAGCTCAGGTATCTGGGTACATGTTAGCCGTATGTATCTAAGTACCTATACATTACGTAACCGTTCAATTTGCTTGCACGCGAGGGGTTCTATATACATAGGTTAAAGTGGAGGTCCGAGCTTCTCGCGTCGATTTGACAGAAACTACGCGAAAAGTTTACCGCGACGCGTTTCTTCCTTTTTCTCTAATATCCAATGGTCAAGGGGGTCCGCCTTAACCATAATCGCAATTTGCTGTATCCGACCAAAAAGTACCCTCGAGATTATCTCGTTCTTTCATTATACCACTCGTTAAAATTCATTGAGGTTTATAGCATTGAATTGGAATTGGAATTTATTGATGTCGTTCGGTTCGTATAGCACATGATATCTTTGTTTCTGGGAGATCTGGGAGGTCTTTTTCCCAGTGGGAGTTGTTGGCTGGAGCAGTCATGGTATCACAAGTAGCATCAGTTCCAAGAAGTTTGGATTCTTTGCCTACAAGACCACCGACTCCACCTCGAGACAAGAAGCAAGACACGGACTCATCCTCGAAGCTTGCTCTCTCTAATCAGCCCGTTGATATCAGATTAAATCTACATACTCCTCCAAGCCACTCTTCCGACCTCACCAACCATACCAACACCAGCTCTCGAAGATCGATAAAGAAGGTCGGATTTTTGGCACAAGCCGAGTATCAAGAAGCTCCAACCTATGCTGACAAGGAAAATGTTCGAAAGCAAACAACGCCGGCCTCTGTCCCTTCGTCGGTAGCCTCAGTCAAGCCAATCAAGTCTATCTTGAAGCAGACTTCGAGCCCCAGTCCTCTCCACTCTCTAGATCCATTAACCGCCGGCGATCAGGTCAACATCGCAACCATGTTGGACTCAACTATCAAGCAGCTTGCCGGGGCGGATTGGGACTCTAAAATAGATGCCTACATGATGCTAGCACGGGCATTGAAAACATCCAATAACTTACCCGACCGTATCGCCCTTCAAGATAAGATGAGCTTGTTCATGCAGTTTATACAACGAGATATTACGACAAAAGCTACAAACGAAAACATAAACTCGTCTATGATGCACCACGCCCTTACTCTATTATGTACCTTCTTCCACTTCCCGGCCATCTCCTCTACGTTGTCGTCCGACTTTGGTGTCTTCATCATCGACCATTGCATTAGGTCATTCGAAGACGCTTCCGTACCCAAGGACGTCGTGAGGCATCTGATGCAGGTCGTAGCCTCTCAGGACTTCTCGGCAAAGGTCATGACAGCTGACCGCGTCGGCCGGTTGGTAGCTTCGCTCCACAAGATAGAAGAACATATCAAGGGGAAAAGCATTATCATGTCCCGCATATTGATATATCGAAGATTAGTCAAACAGTCAAGGTCCCACATGACCACTCACTCGGACTGGCTCCTGGATCTGTTTACCGATATGCTTAGTAGCATGAAGGAGATCCGTGCTGCAGCCATCGCTCTAGGACTTGAGGCTAGCTTCACAATCGGCAAAGAGAAGCAGCTGTCTAGAAGAGTTATGGAGATACTACAATTACAGGTTGATGATACTAAGTATATCGAATACTATGTAGAGAGGTTGATAAGCATGGTGAAGGACAAGGCCCAATCCGCATCAGTCCCTCAAGTTTGGAGTGTCGTCATTCTCCTTCTCAGATGTCCGGTTGACAGATGGGAATTCTTTGGGCGATGGCTGGAGATTATCCAGCGATGTTTCAACAGTGGGGATTACCACACTAGACTCGAAGCCAACTATGCTTGGAATAGGCTCGTCTATTTTTTACATTTTAATGAGACGTCGTTTTCAAAAGCTATCGTTACAGTATGCCAGCCTTTCACCAGCCAGCTAAAAAGGAGGGGCAGCAGCAAACAGTTAGAGGAACTACGGAAGGTTGTCATAGCTGGTATCTGTAACTTTTACTACTACACCTTCAAGCCGAACTTGAGTATGGCGCAAGTCGACACCTACTGGGATGCGTGCGTAAGGCCTCTGGTTCAACAATTGGCTTTTCCCGAGGTGGACACCAAACAAATTGAGAACCCCACAGCTACGGCCTCTAACAACCTGTCCCAGGCAGTTCTAATATTGACCGGACTATTCGACTCGTCGACGCCTCGACTATGGAAGGAAGATCGCGTCGCCGAGAATGCATTGGTAAAACCGGACGAGCTACCTGCCCTGGATCCGAAATGGGTCAGACGAAACGCGGCGAGGGTATTTTCCGTGGTGGAACCTATCTTACAGAAGACGTTTTTGGATCTTGCGAGCCCGGAATCTGCCTCATGCAAGCTCTGGCGCACCCTTGTGAGTGCCGTGGCGGCTGCTGCGTCCAAGGAGGTCAAGGTATCCACCGACACGGCGACTTTCATGGCACATGCTTTTAGCGTATTAGCGAGGATATGGTCTCAGGGACTCGACAGTTCAGATGCCCAACCCGAGTCGCAGCAGAGATTTCTAGATGCAACACAAGCATACCTTTGGACGATTATAGAGTCTTTGGGTCTACTGCCCTTCACCGAGAAGCTCCTCTCCCTAAATAAGCAAAACTCATTCATTCCAGTAGCGACTCCTTCTCATCGTTCAGGAAGGGGTCAGGGCTTAACGCGAACTCCTCTTCATCACTTATTCTCTATCCTCTCCGCACTGCCTCCTGGAATCCCTGACGACGACGGCTTATTAAATCTTATTAGGATTGTCCTAGATCCCTTCATAATTTCCCGCTCTTCCTCACATGGGAAGACTGAACTAGCTCGCGAATTAATACAGATCTTGCCCATGGACGTCCTCTCGCCGTATGGGCCGTGGGTTTTCATATCCGATATCCTCTCTCTATCTCTAGACAGTAGCCAATCCAGCCATCTCACCGCCAGCTCCGGAAGCGAACCGATAACGATTGGCCACGAGTACCGCGAGATTATAAAGCACCTTGAAAGGGGTCTCAAATCTACACCTAATCTTCCTTGGGAGCATTGGGATTCACTCTTCCAATTGTTGGTACATCGAGGCTACTCCGAGATTGGAGGTGCAGGACTAGCCATCGTGGTGATAGAGCCATTAGCTAAGCACTTCTTAGAGTTCTGCTCTTTGCCTTGCGATGATGTGATATCGCCTACTCATTTTAAGGCTGGCATTAGTCTAATCTCCAATGCAGCACACCCTAAAGATCGTCAGGGGCTGGACGCTGCTCGACGGCGGCTTTGGGGTACTTCTATTGCCGGCCCAAGATCTGCTTCTTTCGACCCCTTCGACAATTTTTACCGCCTCGCGAACTGTCTACTAGAAGCGTCTTATTTGCACATGGAGGATTACAATCCCGACGAGATCATCGTAAATTTGTTTACCGAGACTAGCTGTTTCCTCAAGCGATGCAACCGCTCGCTGGTATTTAAATCAATAGCTCATTTGCAACATGGCATTGGTCTCTGGATTCAAGATGAAATCGCACAGTACAGCATAGCAGAATCCACGACGGTATCCCAAGCTGTAAGTAACGTGTTATTTTCTATATATCTTTGCACCCGGCACTAACAAATGCAAGGTTGAATCCCTATGGGATCAGATCTGTAAGCTGTTTCTGGATACGGATACTCAAGAAAACCTGCAGCTCGACGTTATCGAAGAATTGTTGTGCTCGGCGTTTCTGAGCAGGCATAGGGATATTGTTAATTATACTGCAGTTATGTGGAACCGCGCTTTCGAACATGCCGAAGAGATTCAATATCCAGAGAAGCTTAAAAATGTGCTCATTTCTATCCATTCTTATGTTGATGTAGTGCTTCCCGGTGTAGACCTCTCTAGCTATGCGTCTGGTGGGCAGGAACCGTCATTTATAGAATCGCAAGACAATTTAGAGACCACGAATCCGTCTCTTGACAAACAAGACCATCGCAAAACACCTCTAGCAAAGCGGCCATCTTCAAGGCGGTCTGCAACGCCTGGATCAGTCCAGCTTTCACTATCTTCTAAACAGGGGCTTGCTGCTACTCCCAACCAATCTCGGCCAAGGTCAGCCAGGCGTAGCGCAACTCCCAAACTACGGCACGACGACTCCCAAATTCAATTCGCACCCATTGAATCGTCCCCCAGCCGGGATGTAATGGAATCTCAGTTCTTGACAGATCGTCAGAAGGAAATCCGCGAACGACAGCGAGAGAATGCCGTCATTTTTGCCCATATTCGTGCCAGCACAGAAAACCAGATCTCGGATGAAGCAAAAGATTCGAAACATGAACGAGATACGACGCCGCAACGCAATCAAGGCCTCGAGGACTATGTAGCATCCACGCCAACACCCAGGCGTGGCCAAGCTCCCATGATAGATTTCGATCACGAGATGACTGACGATATTCCTTCTTCGCCACCAGAACCCCGTCGGAACTTGCTCGCAGAAATGAAGCCACGGACTAGAAGCAGTGGCGTATTCCAAGACTTCCCTATCATATCCTCACCTGTTTCTGGATCCCCCACTACAAAGCCACAGACGGCACCTGCGGACGAAAGTCATTCAGAACGAGAAGACGCAGGAAGCGGCGAGGACGTATCAGGAGTCGTAAAAGAGGAGGGCCCGGATCAAGCTGCAGGATCCCAATCAGAGCGTATATCTACAAACGTGGAAATTAAGTCTGCCCAGGTCAATGCCCCCAAAAGACCCACTACACCACGGAAAACTCGCTCAGGCAAAATTCTGGATTCCTCGCCGAAGTCCGACCTCGAGGTGTTCGTAGATGCTCCTACCAGCCCGACATCTCGATCGCCTCGAGCCCTCCGTAGCAATACGTCCAAGGGTGTACAGACCGTGCAAAACCTTCCATCTTCTTCTCAGTCCAAGGACCGTTCTTTTGAGCTTAGTGACGACGAAGAGCGGAGCCTAGCACGTCTAGTTATCGAGCTAGATTCTAGGAAATGCGAGCCAGCACCCAAAGGCAATTCAGAATCGCCAGAGAAGCCCCGAGAGTTGGAGATCCAGTCTTCGGGGTGCATCACGGTGAGCGCGGGATCGAAGAAGTCGTGTGGCAAGTCTAAGTCAAAGAAAGACGAGAGTAACCAATCTCTGCCCGTTATTCCTTCGTCGTCTACAGAGGCGGAAAGCTCTCATTCACCTAGTAAAAGGTCCAAAAGAAAGAGGAAGCGGCATACAGACAAGAGCCAAGAGCCGGGCAGCAGTCAAAAGAAGAGGAGGCAGCAGAAGGACACGGATGTCGAATCAGTACCTAATAGCCAGGTTTCCCAGATTATCGAAGGGGATACAACTGAAATTAATACCGAAGTCGACACTTCAATGGAGTTAGACACTAGTATTGCTTTTAGCTCGCAAGATTTGGCGAGACAGGAGCCCACAGCCGCAGAAGCCGCTCAACGAAGCTCTTCGCCTGTGGATTTCAACGACAGCCTCGTCGAGCGCGAGTCTGATACGGAAGCAGTAACTTTACAGATAATTACGGAAGCATCTCAACAGTCAGAAATCGAGCATATTCCTACGGAAATACTAGAGAACGATATATCTTTAGTAGATGATGATACGAAGATGGTTGATCAAGAGGAGGAAGATGATACAGAGAAGGCGGGCGAAGTTCAGGTTGAGCAGCCTCGTCCGGTCGAAGAAGCAGCAGTTGAGAAATCGGCAGCGGACAGAATCATGGACGCGCTGAAAGGGGGCCTCGAGGGCCTCCGTACAGCGACGCTGACTCGAGACGAGGTGAACAGGATTGAGGACATGTTCTTCGATATCAAAAAGGAACTATACCAGGCGGAGAGTCGGGGCCGATGCTAGGTTTCACGAGGGATTGCGAATTGTAAAGGTTAATGGCGGATGATAAGGAACATATTTAGGTACTACTGTACCATACGGTTATGAGCATACCTTAAGGCATTGATTGGTAAGGCGTTTAGGACGTAGATGATACCTAGTTACGATACCTAGTTATGATACCTTAGGTAATCTATAGGAATGGAAATATTTCTAATTATTTGTATTTGTATTTGTATTTGTATTTATATTTATATTTGTAGTTGTTTTTTGTTTTATGTGATGGATGAATGATTTAGTGACGAAAGGGTTGCAGGTCCAATGTTAAGCCGAGGGTGTAGATGCTCGGGAGATGTTCCCTTGGTTGGGACGATTCCGGCTGATTACTCGCATCTTATAGGTACGTCTAAGAAATAATAGCTGCAGGTAGGAAAGATGGGCGTTTCAGGTTATGCGGTGACACCAGGTTAGGATACGGGAATACTTGCATAATATTGTATATATGATTGTATATATGAGTTAAATAAGGTGTGGCATATGTAATGTATGTACTTACATGTCATGTAATGTACGTATTATATACATTATGTACCTCTAACCTACATGATGTAGGTAGGTAGGTAGGTACATACTATTATGTACATTTTTGATCTTCGGAAGGGTCGTCTTAGTTGAAGCTACAATCCACCTTAACCTTTCTCTGCGGATCCCATCCTTTTTTTTAAAAAAAAAGTTTTTAGTTTTTTAGCTTTTTACTTTTTTTTTACTATTTAAAAAAAGGGAGCTCTTACATCAGTTTAATTTATACTTGTTTTTCAATCTACCACTACATACTAAGATAACAAACATTCGATAATTGGGCGTTGCTTGCTATACTTAGACACATATATAGTATTACCCCACCACACAAAGACCCCTTAAGTAGGTATCTACCCTTACCTCTTCGATTTATCGATTAATAACCCCGCCATATAACATCACATCTATCATCTACCATCTACAATCTACCATTTATCATCTATCATATATCATCAACCTCTTGACATATCCATTCCCTACCTTAGGTACCTATCCTTTACCTACCTAACCTATCTATCATATATTCTACCAATCTACCTAATCTTACCTAACTCGACCTACTGAAACTAACAGACTTAGACAATCGACTAGTGATCATGGTTGACCGACCAAAGAAGCCATTGGCGCTAGCCACAACCCCGGGTCTACCACCTCAACCTCAGGTCAACTTCTCCAAAGACAATTCGCGAGTCACAGCTGTCCTTCCCACTGGCGAGAGCGTCGAGGTCCTTTTCTATGGCGCTACCGTTATCAGCTGGAAGAATCGCTTCGGAATAGAGAAGCTCTGGTTGTCTGATGCCGCTAAGCTCGACGGATCTAAGGCCGTACGAGGTGGCATTCCTCTGGTCTTTCCCGTAAGCTACAAATTATTCCTTCTTTGATTCGAGATAATACCTTCGTAAAGGGCGCTAGCTAATACTTATGGCGAATTGCTAGGTATTCGGCACAGCTCCTAATCACGCTGCAACCTCGAAACTACCCCAGCACGGCTTTGCGCGCAATTCGCGGTGGGAATTCCTTGGCAAGTCTAGCTCCGAGTCGACCGGGCCGTCTGACACCTCCGTCAAGCTCGACTTCGGCCTCTCATCCGCCACCCTAGAGGAGAAGACGAAGAGCCTATGGCCCTATACCTTCTCCATCATCTACAGCGTCACCTTAACCCCGGAGAACCTGAGCACGAGCATCGTCGTTACCAACGATGGTGAACAGCCCATCGATTTCCAGGTCCTATTGCATACGTATCTACGAATTGATGTAAGTAACTCATATTGTGCATAAAAGGCGCATAGTACAGCGAGAGCTAACCGAAACCTCCGCATCCAATAGGACATCTCAAAGATCCAGGTGACGGGTCTCGAGGAGTCAGAATACGTCGACAAGGTGGATGCGGCTAAGGCAAAGACACAGTCGGGCGCTATAACCATCACGGGCGAAACAGATAGAGTGTACACGCCGGCCAAGGGTCCCTCAAACCCGGTGGTGGTCGCAGAGGATGGCGAGGCGGTTTTCAGCATCGTACGGGACAACCTTAAGGATGTTGTGGTCTGGAACCCGTGGACGGAAAAGGCGGCAGGCATGGGAGACTTCGAGCCCAAGGACGGTTTCAAGAAGATGATCTGCATCGAAGCAGGCTCTGTCAGTGGATGGACTACACTGGACCCGAACGACGCATTCGAGGGCGCCCAGACGATTTCCGACTGACTTGGCAGCGGTGGGGTTCATGCAGCGTCACGGAGTATGGGCAGACTGTGAATAAATGCCGATTGGTCGAGGAGCTACTAGGAATAAGGACCAGTGATAAAGTAGACGGAGAGACGGAGATATCTTTGAAGATATTGACAATCTTTGGGCGGAGAGAATCCTGGTAGATCTCCTTAGTTACTTCTTTTTCTTTCATAACAGAAAGAAAAACGACGGCTCTTATTTGATTTGATACAACTAGCCAATCATAAATAGTTGCACGTCTACTCGTTTCTTATTGCTCCCAAACTCGGCCAAGCATTTATGTTGTCATCGTGTCCAATGATTCGTAGCCCCCGATTTGAAATTTGACCTCAACTAAAATGCAAGCATAGTGAAGGAGAAGTATAAAAATAAATAAGAATTTCAAAGTACTAATTAGGGGATTGGTTTACGATATGCCTCCAAGCCTAAACATGAAGTCAATAGAAGAATGTAAGTAACTAACCTAGGCAGTTAAAGAAATTATATTCTTTAGAGGCCACCGAAGATTTAATCTAACGCAGACAAATCCCATGGCATATTGATACAACCGTCCGCCTCGCAAGCATAACTTATACTCTTATGGAATACATCAAAGCCCATTCGTAAAAAATCAAAAGGAAATCACCGCAAGCTCCCCCCTACCTAATCTCCCTTCTCCTAACCTCTATCCTCATCTCCGCCATCTATCCCTCATACCCCCTCCACCTCCACAGCTCCGGCGCAAACACAACCTCAAACGCCACCTTATCAAACGCCCCCACGGCAGCGCACAAGTCGTGATACCCCTCGAGCCCCGTAACCGGCAGATCCTGCTCCCGGTCCGTCTCCTCGTGCAGATTCCACCGCCCCCTCTCTACACCGTCCCGCGTCAGAAACACCTCAACCCTGATCCCGCCGCCCTGCGCCGCGCAGAACTCCACCCCCAACCCCACCGTCTCGCCTACTCGGAATGGCGACGTAAACGCCTTCCCGCCCCACCGGTCATTCACGTACCGGTGTCCGTCGTCCCCGTGCACCCCCAAGCTACCGCGATGCCACCCCGGCAGCCGGAAGCCAGGGTACGGCGGGGCGACGAAGCCCAGCGACAGGGAGACCTCGTCGCGGCGACTACCACGCTCGAGGACGCGCACCTCGTAGTACGCCGTCTTTGTTTTCGAGCTCCCGGTCACCAGCGGGCTGTGCGCCGCGGCGTGGTACAGCGGCGGATACGTCGCCAGACAGGTGTCGCGGGCGCCGCGCGGAGACGACGCGGTCCATACCCCCGGCCGCACGTGGGCTAGGGCGCCGGCGAACGCGGGGGGCGCGTACATGGCGATGGCGCCGGTGCGCGCGGCGGCCTCGGCGGGCGGGTTTAGAGGCATAGGGGCGTAGAGCGGGTACTGCGCGCACCAGGACTCGCCGGCTTCGCATTCTTCCTCGGTGGCGTTGTTCGCGGGCGAGCGGTCGAAGCCGCTGAAGAAATTGGGAGGGGGCGGCAGGAGGGAGGTGTCTGGGACGGCGGTCTGCCAGTCGTGGGTTTTGGAGTCGCCGTGGGATGGTGGCGGGCCGGGCGGAGGCGCGTATTCCGTGCCCGTGGTGAGGAATGGGTTGTTCTTTGTGTCTGAGGGGGGCGGGCCGGGGGGAGGTGCGTACTCTTCCTGATGATGATGATGATGATGATGAGATGGAGGTGGGCCGGCCGGGGGAGCGTAGTAGTAGGGAGATGACTGGGATTGACCTTGCCCGTGAGACGGCGGGGGTCCGGGAGGCGGCGCGTAGTCCTGCGGCATGCTGGCTTTGGGATTGGCGGCGATGGTGGATGATGATTGAGGGACCGGGGCCGGCTTAGGAGCTGGGTCGTTGGTTTTGTCTTTACTTCCGAAACACATCAGGTGTGTTTTTTTGAGAGTATGATGGTTGAGGGTTGATGGTAGATAGTTATGGTTGATGGTATAAGTGTGTAAGTGGGCGAATAGGATTACACGTGATAATTCCGGGAAGTGTGTAATGTATGTAAGGTATGTATGATGTAGGTAGGTAGATGGATAGGTAAAATTAGGGAAAGAATTGAGAGAATCGTATTGGTTCAAATAGTTAAAATATTTGAAATAATTCACGGTTAGGACTCTGTCAATTGCTTGGCATCTGACGTTTTAACATTGACTTCTGTGCACACAAGACAAAGTCACTATGATACAAATTCAGGTGATTATAGTTATTACCGGTACCTACCTAGGAATAAGTACGTTAAATTCATACGTCATACCATAATTACATATCTTATCCAGCATAGCCACCTTCTAGAACAGCCTCTTGATCAAAGTCGTGGCTGAGTTCAAGTTAGAGTCTCTTTAATCAATCCGATATTTCTAATGATTCCCTACAAGCTACAAGCAACCAACTTCATTATGTCTGTCCACTATGTCTGTCATCGTTTTACCGCAAATCCATCCCGTTCAATGATTGGTTGCTCGTCGTGAAATCGGAACCAACCACATTGCAGCATGGTAATATTTCTACTTAGATACATGTATCCCGGGAATAACTAACCTAGAGATTTTGTATTTGAAGGCGAGATGCTTTTATTTTGATTTCTCTTCGTTTTTAATCTTCCCTCTTTCACATTACACCGAGCTGCCCTTTATTAACCGGTCCAATTAAACTATATAAGATACATCACATTCCCTTTATTAAGAGCAACACTAAACGGGCATATCGCACAAGTACTACCTACATGTATCCCCGCATGTATGTATCTTTATGACAACCCCGCCAAACCTAGCCAGCCTCATAGCCTCGTAGAGTACAGCTACCTAAATAGCCAGCCTCCCACATAATATAGACATATCAAAGATCATTTAAAAGACCACCTGTCAATACACGCATGCGAGCGTATATTCCTTGGATAATGCATGCGACCGAGTAGAATTTATATATAAGGTTTTGCATCGTTGTTGAATTGATTAAATTCAATCAGTAAAATGAGGCTGTATCAAAGGTGTGGTATGAGATAATGATAAGGATATTGCCAAACGTGCAATGTAGAATTTAGCCAATGGGAGGGCGCACATCTCTTGAAATTGGAAGATGGGCAAAAGGGTGGCTTTACTTGCCTACTTAATGTTGCTTTTTTAAGTTTAATTGTAACCATTTAACTCCAATAGTTGCTATGCGCGTGACGATGGTTAACCAATCGCTAAATTCTAAATGCAGTCACTTGCAACTTTTACGCATCAAATCCTGTCGGCAAGTCAGTAAAGTTGCACAAATATGATAAATATCTTATAAAACCCAAATTTTTAAGCATGCCAAGCCATATCAACAAATCAAACTCTTTTACGACCTTATAGTAAGACTGTTGTGCAACACATGGTTACTTCCTATAGCTATTATCTATTTATTTCATGCAATTTATTTCATCACCGTTAAATTTTTGAAATAAGCCGCATTACAATTCTAATCAATGAGGTAAATTGTTTTACTAGAAGGACCAAGCCCCTCTTCGTTGAGCGTACGAAGAGGTGCCTAGTCCCTCTAGCAATGATTCTTATAAGAATCGAGTTTCACCCCTTATACTCACAATATTAATCTCCCCAGTTGTGGTATCATGCAAATCACTTTCTAGATTGTTTATGCACTCTTATTCCTTCTATGGGCCTTGTTCATGACCACAATGGAAAATGAACATGATCAAGGTGATGTAAGCCCTGAGTTGGCAAAAAAATATGGATTCAAACATAGACAGGACGACTATGACATCTCAGTATCCATTCAAGACGAAGTTCACGGATCTCTCTACCAACCCGATGGAGTATCTAGCCACGGAAATGCGTCCCTCCTTGTATTGGATTTTCAATTTCCAAAGCAGGATTCCCAAAAAATGCCAGATAAATTTCATATCGGACTCTCATTTCCCCATATCGATAGGCTTTTCAGAATTTCCCCAAAGCCTTGGGCGAGCATCACTCGGTCATTTCAAGACCTCTCTATTGAAGAACAACGACCGCCTCTATTTATTATCAAAGGGGTGTATGGCCCATACGAAGGGGTGTATGGCCCATACGAAAGGCCAGACCAATATCATAATATTTGTTCATGGTTGATAGCAAGGCCACAATCAGATATACATGTACCGAAGTCCTTTCGGGTCGCTACTCTAATTGAACGTCATGGCACCTCGAAGTTTACTTGCGACATTCAAATTGCATACATGAGAAACGGGTATGCTCAACTACAAGGAACATCTATCTTGTTTGACCCCTCGAAGGTTTCCACTAGCCGTTTGCAGAGATATGATATAAATAAACTCGCTTCAGTTAATATCGACAAGCTCACAAGTAACGAAAAAGAGGGACCAAGCTCACCTATATCGGTTTCAACTGCTGCAGGGCCCAGTCTTTCCCCTATAGAAACTAGTCCGGCTACACAGCAACTCAAGGAAAGCTGGCCTATTTCCGACCTACCAGAGCTATCACTATTAAATGAGTGGAAAGACTTGGATTCATATTTCCGCTCATCGAATTTTTCACCAGACGGATGTATTCCACATTGTTGGATAATAAACAACAGCGCGGCGGCCATTAAAATAGTTGTGTTTAAAGATAGACTACACCGAGTTCCTGAGACTATACTAGATCCTAACTACCGGCTAAAAGATGAGGTATGTTGCGCTTAACTTAGCACTGGGATTCTTAAGTCGTCTTTGATCTAATACCCTCTAATAGCGTTTCTTTCGTCCTGCTGCTAAGAGGGATCTCCCCTCTTATCAGAAGAACTACGAGAAATCCAGTACGATTGTTCCGCTTTGGTTCTCGAAGAACGACGGTAAAGCTGACATGGGACATGTCGGCATTTTCATCGTCGAGGATGATAAGGATAGGCCATCACTTATAGGATGGCGAAGTGTGAGCCCAGGCTCTCGCATCGAAATCTATTCTGAGCGCGACGTAATCCACCAGAAAATTCATGAGTTCGCTCTCAAGGATTTGCCGCTCTTCCCAATCACTATTAACGGAAACAAGTTTCAACCAGACAAGAATATCGTGGGCACTTCATCACATTATATCCTTATCCAGAGCTACATGCCTCTTACGTTGGAACAAGAAATCAAGTTGAATGATTTAGGCGAATCAGAAGATCCAAAGCCCAGCTTACAGCAGTATTTCTCTAAGAATGCGTATCTTTACCGTTGGAACTCCACCAATTTGGACAGGATTAGGCTACTTGACTTCGTCGCCTATGCTAATGTCTTTCCAACCGAATGCAAAATGTCTCGAAGTTTACAAAGTAAACTACTGCAAAGACATAAACCACAGCAAGTACATAGTTCCTCAAAAAAACTTTGGGGAATTGACATTGTCTTTCATGATGATGTCAAGCCCAAGGAACTAGAAAGTTCCATCATAGAGGCTGCACACTTAGACTCGATCACGTTCGAGTATGGCTTACATAAACTTCGTTGTAAAGTTCAAGAAAGATACTTGGGAGCTTTATGTAAAATAGATGATGTTCGGATCATAGAGGAGGTCCCTCGATGGGGCTTACGAGATAATTCAGCCAGAACGATTCTTGGAATTGGGATTCATTACATGGAGCTGGGCTCGATGGATGGCAAAGGAGAAATTGTTGCCGTTGCAGACACTGGATTTGACAAAGGAGAACGCGATGATGTTCATCGGGCGTTCGAAAACCGGGTTGAAGAGATCTGCGTATGGCCCCCCCAAAACGCCCAAAATGCCCGAGACGCCCGAGATACTAACGGCCACGGAACTCACGTCTGTGGCCTCGTGCTCGGCAATGGCTTAATAAATGGAGACAGGATTCAAGGCGCCGCGCCGGATGCACGTCTTTTGGTTGAATGTCTAGGCCCGAGTCTCAAACGTAAGCTAAATAGCCTTAGTGAGCTATTCCAGCACTCCTATGACAAAGGAGCGCGGGTCCATAATAACTCATGGGGCACGATCTGGCAAGGAGTTCAGTACCAATACAATCACAGCGCAGAAGAGATAGACGAATTCATATGGGAAAATAAAGATATGGTCATATGCATCGCCGCTGGTAATGATGGAGAACAGCAATGCGACAGCCAGATTGGAACCGAAGCATCCTCTAAGAACTGTATTACTGTGGGCGCCACTATGAACCATCAAAGACGTTCTCATAAAGTTGCTTTGTTCAGTAGTCGTGGGCCGACTGTCGAACATCGGATCAAACCCGATGTGGTGGCACCGGGGGTGACGGTTCTCTCGACCACATCTAGAAGTATACATCCAGCCCCAAAACCATATGCTGGATGGCATTATCTTAGTGGTACTAGTATGGCCACTCCGCTTGTCTCGGGTTGCGCCGCCATGCTTCGTCAGGCCTACAGAGTATACCACGCGGAATCTCCGAGTGCCGCGCTTATTAAGGCAATGATAATCAACGGCGCGGAATCAGTACGTTGCTCTTCCACGGATGAATCTGGTTTCGGTTTGGTCAAGTGCAGAAGTTCCATGGTATTGAATAGCAGTTTTAATAACGGCGGAAAGGGAGAGCATAATTTCACCAGGTGGAACCGCCATGAGCCTTGGATCATACCCTTTGAGGCACATAGCTTCTCAAATATGACCCTCAAAGCTACTCTCGTCTGGTCTGATCCAAAGGGGGCGGCACTACAGAACCTATTTTCTTTCGTTGCTAAAATAGGACCTGAGGACAATAATCAACATGAAAGGCGTGGAAATATAAATGGCCCCCCGACGAATCCTGACGACTTCGATGAAAACAATAATGTTCAGCAAATCTGTTGGGATAGGATACCTGCCGGGGAAGGAAGAATGGAAGTCACTGTGGTGAGAATGGGATTAGAGCGTCAGGAAGTAGCATGTGTTTGGCGGTTTATATACATGCCTCCCATTGTATAGGATTATGGGATACGTGACTTCAAGGGCAGCGGCATAAGATGGAACAACCAAACGGGGCTCGGTGGAACTATACACTTTATTCGTGGTCTAAGTAGAAGGTAGTCGATCGCTAAGTTTAGTTTACTATTATTTACCAACAAAGCAACATTGTTCGTGAAGATATAGTTACCCCTACTCATACCTACCTACCTAGGTAGTCAAGTGAAAAAACACCCTTAGATTTTACGGTAAACAGTCGCTTAACCTACGTCAATTCAACATACTACTTAGGTAACTATTCACAATTCAAATACCCTAAAGGTATAAATCAACCCATCTGCATCTGCAAAAAATGAGAGTATGTCCAATTCATCCGCTAAGCAGCTCATATCAACCACAAAGTCTACAAGTCTGCATCGCTAAACTAACTAGGTACCTAACTTAAGCTATCTGCGCGTGTTTCCACACCCTCATCATCGCTATCTGCATCAGAGCGGCCAAGTTGGCTGGCTCAGCTTTTTGTCTGGGAAAAAAAATATCTCATGAAAATCAAGACAATTTAATCAAATCGCAAGGGGCCAAAACTCCGAAAAGTAGATAGCATCCCTCTAAAGAAGTAAAACATTTCATTTCATCTCCGTACTCTTTCTCTCCCCCTTGACCGTATAGCGTCAAATCGTCAAATAAGTGTTCATAAACCCCGCTTCGTGCAAGTTTAATATCAAAGCAATAATAGACTGATCGTTATATCCCATGCCCGAGTTAAACATTGAGTCGTGTTGTCAAATAAGAGGTTTAGATATGCACTTTAGAGGTCAAATGCCCCTTTCAAGCGCCTAGGGTACCTGCGGCGTCACCCTCAGGATAGAAGAACGCCACAACCGCGATGATTACGTACGTAGCGCAAAGCAGCGCACCCTCGAGATAGTTGCTTCGGCCGTCTAGAATCAAGAAGTTGATGATGAAGGCCGATACGAACAGACAAACGGTCTCGAAAAGGGTAAAGTAAAGCGTCATGGGTTGTCCGATGATCCAGCCGATGATAACCACCAGAGGCGTCAAGAACAGGGAAATTTGAATCGAGGAGCCAATAGCTACACCGATTGCCAGATCCATCTTGTTCTTCATAGCCACCGTGACGGCCGTCACGTGTTCCGCTGCGTTACCGACAATAGGCAGGATGATCAAACCGATGAAAGTCTCCTTGAGAGCGCTATTTGCGACCACATCATCGATGGCATCCACCATGAATTCGGCACACACGGCTACGAGAGCCGTCGATAACAGCAACATAATAATGGCTGCGCCACGTGAAAGGTCGTCTCCGTGCTCTTTGCCTTCTTCTCCAGTACCGCCAGTTAGGACAGAAATAGGAATTTGAGAAGGCATCATGGCTCCGGGTGGTCGGTATTGGTACTGGTTAAGTCTTTCGGGAAGAGAGTTGGTCCTGCGAATGCCGTATCTCACGCGCGGCACGGGTCCAACCGATGCCGCAGGTGCAGCTCCAACGTCCGAAGTGAAGACAGGCGGTGCCAGGCTCTTAGCCACGGGTCGGAATGAAAGAACACGCAAGTTATTGAAGGGACGTCTAGGTCCTGTGGGAGTAACTTCGAGTTCGCTTTCGACATTGGCGACTGTGTCAGCAAAGTCTACACGGCGGGGCTCTCCATTACTCGCGACACGATCCTGTACGGCATCCGGTCCAACACCAGCAATGTTCTGAGGTTGAGTAATTCCTTCGACACCAGTTGACGCCTTCCTATCTCGCTTGCGGTGCTTACGCTTGGAGCGCTTGTGTTTACGGCGGGACTTGTTTTCATCTTCCTCCTCGATAGCCTCTTCGGTACCAGTGGAGTTCATTCGAGGGAAAGAAAGGGGGCCTTGCAAAGAATCACCAGACTTAGAACCCCCCTCATGGATAGGACTAGCGCTATTAGTTCCGAGAGACGAGGTACGAGTTCGATCACCATCGTCAGTGTCTACAGACGCCGTACTGGATTTTCTGCGGCGATGTCCACGGATGGCTCGTTTAACACGTTTGGACATGGTTTCCCTCGAATGGCCAGAGTGATCCGAGTCCGAGTCCGACGAAGAACTCGAGTCGGAATCAGAGGACTCGAGCCATGCGGCAGCCGGGCCAGGTGTTGCTTCCTCATCGATGATGTGTTGAGGAGTCGATTCATACATATATGCGTGAGACTTCAGCTGGAACAGAAGGTACACGACATATACCAAAAGAAGAATCTTAAGACAACGTTAGTAGGGATTGAGGATATATGCGGAGTAGATAAGTAGATACATACCACGCTAACACCATGGCTGATCTTCAGAGACTCGTTATCAGCCTCTGTTTTGTCTCGGAAGGAAGCATGAAATGCGGTCTAGTAAGAATGTTAGCGATATCCTAAGTATGGTCGGAGATAGGACTAACCGGTAACATGAGACTAATCACACTCAAACTTAGCAAACAGGCACTCATCTGAGTCACTGTGCTGTTGTAGATCTAGAAGATGTTAGTGGATGTAAAGTGATCAAGTTCGTACTCTACTGACCTGTTCACGGAATCGGAGACCACCAAGGAAGAAGGCCATGCCTAGAATCAAGAGCAAGTTTGCGAGGATCGATCCAAGCAGGGAGGCCTGAACGATGCGAATCTCACCCTACATGGAATTAGCAACGTGAGATTACGAGTGGATAGATGTAATATTCACCTTAACTAGAGCGATGCTATAGATTATTAAAATATGAGGTTAGCAGAGTTCAATGCGCGACATTCATATACCGATTGATGGATGCAAGACTGCTCGATAATGAATCGTAGAACATGATCAACTTACATGCTATTGACTCGTTAGCTAAGAGCGCAATCAAAATGACCAGATAAGACTTACAAGATAATGAGTTCGACAGCATTACCAAACGTTACGTTAAGCAACGCGCCGACGGTATCGCCCATCTTGCGGGCGACAGACTCGGTAGCATGGCTAAGGAGTGCCGCAAGAGGAATAATGGCGACAGCGTTAATACCGAAAGTAGCTCCGGCATTCCTGTTCGGAATGTTTGCGATAGCAATCCCGACGGGTACGAATACCAAGAATAGGTTGATCCAGCTGTGTAGGATCACTTTCTTTAATTCGTGATAGGTTTCGACGACGACATTTTGTTTCTTCTTCTTGGTACCGTCTTCGTCTACGACAGACCCCGTCCCCTCCACTTGAGATGTTGACGGAGCCGGCCTATCGGCATTCTGGGTATCCGTTCCGAAGTTGGGGGCGTCCTGAGATTTCGCGGAGCCATTAGAAAGGCCCTGATGGCCGTCAGAACCGGTACCGCTAACATGGCGGATCTTCTCCGGATCTTGTTGTGTATGTGTATTATTTATGGGAAGGATGGGGTTAGAGTTGGACGCGGTGGAACGTGTAGAGCCTCCATACGCGTGACCTCGTGCCCAAGAGCGTATGCGATCTATATTAGAGGCCTTGTCAGTTGAGCTTTCCTTCATCGATGTATGCGGCTTTGGCAGATTCGACGCCAAGGTCGTAATTGTTCTGGAAAGAGAACGGGAAGAGGGGGAACGTGTTTAGGACGTAATCCGACAGCGAGAGAGACCTAGACTAAATAGGCGTAGAAGCAAGTAGAAAAATTGGGGAAAGACGGTGGCGTGGGGAGAGCTTTAATTGGTAGAAGTCAAGGCGTAATCTAGAAGCCCAGGGGTAAAGCCGAGAAGAGTTGCTGCTTGCGGATTGGTTCCCGGGTTAGAAGATTTCCACCAAGCCAGTCACCAGTCACCAGTCACCACCTGAGTTCAGCGGTGTCGTCTACACAGTAGATTATAGACCGTAGTTAGACTGTAAAGTGATGACTTGTAGAATAACGTGTAGTTAACTAGACTTAGACTGTGTGGATTTTCGCCTTGCTTTTAGGGACGGCGATACGACGTAGATCCTACCTGAGGCTAGCTAACACGTTGGTCTGTGCCGCAAGCCTTATTAAATTTCCCTGATAAAGACATATCGTCTCTCCGCAATTTCTTTGTCGTCGATGGCTGAAGGATAGATTCTTTTTGAAAGCTTTGAGCTTTACAGCTTTACAAAGCTCCCGTAAGCTCAAGGTATAGGAGTAAATCCCGATCTCTTTCGCCCCTCTATGACACCATACCGACAGATACCAACAGATTCGAAGCCGGCAGATCATCCCCACTTGGAGGCTTGCCGGAATTAATGAGGTAGCGTCGCGTCGGGTTGAATGGACACCCGCATCAGCATGCAAGAAGGGTACATAGTGTGATGACGGATAACAAGTACCGAGCTTTTGTCGGGACTTGGTTTGAAGCGACTACGATATACGTGTCCAGAAAAAAGCAGTAAAGGGGTAAGGTGGAAAAAACATGAACGTAACGAAAAAATACTTGAAGGAATAGTATAAAAATAAAATAAAAACTTACGCATGATGTCTATCACGATCACCCCTAAAGAGAGAGTATCGCCTGGTAAGACGAGTACTCTCTCTCTCTGGTGGGTGTATTCTGTCTGTATAAGGTACCCGGCTCCTCGACAAACCGGTAAGTATTCCTTGGCACTCAATTCTCTTCTTCTCGTCAGCGGTCGTGTAACAAGCTCCGATAGTTTTACTGATAGTGTTAACAAGGATTAGACGGGGCGGCGGGACGGCAGAACGGCACCACCGCCTCACTTCTCAAGATACAACGTATAAGCGACTTACGATTCACACTGTACTTCGCATCACCCGAACGAAAGCGACGAAGCGTGCGTAGGGCTGATGCTAGCTCCGACGGTGCCTCGGTAGCTTAGATTATAAAAAGGAGGCTGAGGCTAGCTTGTATACGCGTAAATACGTATGTTTACTTAGTCTGCGATGGATTCGGCGTTGGTCGTATTTGATAGATGTATTAGGTTAGGTAGGTAAATGTATATGATGATTGCGAATAGTTATTATTGTTGTTGTTTGTGTAAGGTAAGGGAAAAGTATTGAAGATGATGGTAGATGATGATAATTAAATACCAAATAGCTACGAAGCAAAGCTCAGCTAATTGACATAGTCATAACATTCCCTTACTGCAGTGTTTATTAAGTTCATAATATAATCGATAGAATTGACAAAATCGACAAAATCGACAAAATCGACAAAATCGAGAAGTAAGTGGAATTAGGTTAGAAGTCATAAATATCGATTGTTTCGATTGTATCAGTTGTTTCCTAACATTAGAAGTATGATTATAGATACATCATACCTATGAGGTAAGTACATACCTACATTAAAGGTAGTTGCACTGCTGCAGTACTACAGAGCTCTCAATCATGCTTAAAATCCAGGTGTGAAAAAGCAAGAAAAATGATGACGTAGTTGCCTGGATAACTGCACTAAGACATGCGTAACCATGTGTAACCATGTACATCATCCAACCTTTAGATCACATACAGCAGGTGCAATCAGAAATACTTGAACTTTATTGTTCATATTGTTAGTGATGAGTAATAACACATTCAAGGCATTCTTTCATGTTACTGCGAATGAACTATGAGAACATTATCAACTAAACAACTCGACACATACCTAATCGACATACCTAATATCGACACAACCGATGTATGAGTCGCAAGGTTTTAATCTTAGATGAGCCACAGCTTAATCTACAAACACCTACCCATGACCGAAGATCTGTAGTCAGATTAAGATCATTATTAGATCTCGGATCTCCGCTACTTTACCGTCCCAGCGGAGCTATCGGCTCGGATCTACCCAGCGTTGGGGCCTCAAACTCGGTGTCGGCGCAACAAGGATCCATCTTGATTGAAGTATCCAAACAATGGCAGTCGCGCATGGATAAACCCGGACGATATAAGCTCCATGGTGGCAGGTTTGAGATCCGAATAGTGCTATGATATGGTTCCAACTGCGAAACTTCTCTCAGAATTTGGTCCCCAAAAAGCAATTATATTGAAGAAAACATAGTGCCATATTATATAAGCCGTATAGATGTAACTGGAGGTGTTACTAATACATGATGCTTACTTATATCCTCTCCCCTCCTAGAAACTCACATACCGACATAACGAGGGCACGTTTCATCGAGGCAGTTGGTGGCCTTTGATGACTTCATATTAGGGAGACGTCAGTTAGGTCTCCAGTGCTAGCATATAAGCCAAAACAATCTACAGGGTATTATAAGCGTTCTCCATCCATATAGCCTATAGTCTCTCGTATTCAGCATAAGATAACAAATCAAGCTCAAGGTTCATTCTCTAAACACCAAAGATCTCCAATACTCGGTCGAGAAGTAACCATTTCGGTATGTCAGCAGTTAGATGTTATAGACTTACTTGAGGAATACCTCTAAGCGTAGCATTCGAGGAAAACTCGAAGCGAAGTGATACTAGAAAAAGACTTAGCAGAATACACCTTTCGTATTCCAATTCGCCTAGTTGACTACCTCGCATGCTTCACATCACTCTCCTATCATATAGGTAAATTTAAATATCTCATGGTATCTCAAATACGAAATAGGACGTACCGGGCTTCGACTATACTCCAGCCCGAAAGGTAGGCGAATACATGTTCTACTCATTAGTTTTAACGAGTCTTGAGATACATATAAGGGTAAGCACTTGTAATAGGATTTAACTTTACGTACCAATCTATAATAGAGAACTTAAATGATATTTAACTATCCAAGGCATCATGAGGAGCTGCAGGTCATATATATTTGCAAGCTCTTCAGCTTTCTGAGTTGAGCACAGTTGATCGGGGCAGCTGAATTTATTATCTCATATTATATACACATTATTCAATGACAATCTGAGAGTGAAGACGACTAGGATGAGATAGCAATTTCTATCGCACATGCAGCCACCCTTCTTGTTAACTTCTTATATCTGTCTGCCTAAACTGACCGCATTTGCTGCCGCATTTCCTCTTATCTTGAGTCATATTTGGTTCCTCAACATCCAGACAGCAGCAAGACGTCGATTTTTCATTATTCGAATGAGAGGCTCATATAATATAAAGTCTTTACGAATACTCATTAGGCATGTCTGACTAAGTAGTCCAAACGAAGATCTGTTAGTTAGGCCCAGGAGGGTCGTTGTATGACTTTACATCCATAGCTGCCAATTCTGAGTTGTCTCAACTCCAACAGGTCTAATTTATCGTATCGTCGAGAAGTCTAGCAGTTTCAAGTACGATGAGATACGTAAGGCTTCTACTACAAGACTAGTTAGAACGTGTAATCTTCGGATTGAATGAGTGAATGAATGACATTGGTGCAATCAATCCACAACTCTTGAATGGCCTTTATAAGGGTACGAAGACAAGGGCTATTAAGCTACAACCTTATATATGTTCTATCTTGTTTACCTGTCTACGATTGATTGAGTTGCTGGTAAAGAGTCAAGTCAGAGCAGGAGTGAGAACAAGCCTGCTGGTGATGCCATATTTAACAAACCCTCTCCATAGTCACTGATACCTGTTCAGCCTATACCAGTCAACAAGTCAAGTCAAACCACTATATTAGGCAATAGACAATAATATCACCCACGGATTGAATTAGATTTATGTCTATATTGTCCAATTCTTTGGATTATTCCTTGCTTCTCTCACCTGCGGTCCTCCCCTACCGTGCCGGAATCTCGGCAGCCAAGTCCTGTGAACTCCTAGAAATGAACTGTGGCAGACTAGAAAGACAGAGGTACCAAAAGGGAAGGATGCTTATGTACAAATCCGCTCGTCGGTTCGACGATTCGGCAGTTCCGGGTATCCGTTTCCTGAACAAAATTCCAAAAAAAAAGATCAAGATGTGGTTGCAAAACACGTGCCTACGCCAGAAATTCCATTATTGACCTTCCAATATGTATTTAATATGTATTCTAATCCACCTCCGTTTAGTCCAAGCTCATCCACGCAAAGGCCGAGAGTGATCCTGCGATGACGATGGCTGTCAGGATGCCCGCACCTGCCCTATCGCCGCCGGTGATCGGAGCGAGCGTAGGCATTACGGGGTCGCTAGAACCAGCGTTCGCTTTACCCTTCGAAGTACCACCGGTCTGGTTGGTAACGGGTGCCGGGACGTCGGGAGCCAGGAGACTGACCAAGGCACCTAGGACGTTCATCTGCTGACTGGCACCCATGTCCCCGTCCCAAACACCGCTGGTCCAGTGGAAGCCACAGAATCGACCGTTGGCACCGCCGGTACACTGCTTCACGGCGCCTTGCGTGGATGCTTTTAGAACTGGCAGGATCTTCTCCTTGGTGAAAGGTGCCACCTGCATAGTCGTGCCCATCCATCGGTGCGTGAATCCCTTGAAGGACTCCATATCAGAGTTACATTGCTGATTTTCACAAGATGGCTCAAACGCGATATTGGCGGGGGCAGGGAAGAAAATTTCGATCATGCGGTCTACAAGGTTATCGATGCGGTCCTTCCAGATTTGCTCGCCATCGGTCTAAGTCATGTTAGTATTTGAAAGAACTCTTCTTGGCTTGGTATTAGGATAGGTGGAGTGGCTTCCAGGAACTTCACGAGAACCTTGTACACGAAACGAAGCGAAGGAACTTACGTAGTTATACAAGAAAGCAGCACCCTGTAGCAACATGGCGGCGTTGTACGAGAACTGGGCTTTGTTGAGGTCGCTGCAGTCGGGCAGATGGGCGCCGTCGTAGACATCCCACTTCTCTGAGATGTAGCCTAGATCAGAGATCAGATCCCAGGTTCTCGTCGCAAGGTCGGCGTAGGTCTGGTTGCCGAAATAACGGGCCAGTCGGGCACCAATGTTGAAGTAGCAGGCGTTAGCGATGGCTGTTATCATGTTAGTGTCCGATAAATCTTATTCCTAAGCATCTGGACTGGTCCGACGTACTGTTGATATAGTCGTATCCATTATTGGTCGAGTAAACCTGCCATCTGAGACCCCATTTGCATCGTCCGTTGGGAACTCTTCGATCTTCGCTCGTCTGCTCGTTGAATACAGCCTGCGCCAGTGCTACCCACTGCGGCTGGTCCTCTGGAGGATCCGTGTATCCTACTTCGGTGGCAAGCATGGCCGATAAGGCCCAGAAAGCTTGATCATCGTTACCCATGGACGCAGACCAGTTGCTCGGTAGGTAATCAGCGTTGTCGCCAACCTGATGCAGCATGGCCGTCGTTATCAGATCGTCGAACTGTTTGTCGCCGGTGTTGTGTCGATAATCTAGCAGCGTACCCCACATCGCACCACCTTGCCACCAGTAGTAGTCGCCGTCGGGGGGAGGACCAGGCAAGATACCGGGAACCATGCCCGGCTCGTCGCCATGATAGAAGGTGAGAAGATCTTCAGCAACCTGTGCGGCGGCCTTCTTGATAGATTCTAAATAGAGAAACATCTCTTATTAATCGCCTTTACTTCCGCACGGGACAATTCCCAATGGTACCGGGGAGAGTAAGTAGGTAGACATGTACATACCTGGGTCGTCGAGGTTTACTTCCAGGGCACCGAATGCTCTGTCGGCGAACAGGCCTAGCGCAGCCAGCACCGGCGTAGATAATCTCACCATGGTATGCGAAATGTATCTACTCGGGAAGAGAGCAGGGGAAGCGAACGAACTTTCAATATCGAATTACTAGGAAGTGAGGCAGAAATAATGGAAAATAGACAACGAATGGATGGCCTAGTTAGAGATGATGTAAATCACGACTTATTTCGGAGACGAGAGGGTTTTGGACTTGAAGGATAGTGGAACTCGACGTCAACGACGTGAAAGGGCAAAAAAGGACAAGACAAATTAACCAGCTAAGTAACTAAGCAACCAGACTGCATTTGCATTGGCATTGGCAGAGAGGGCAAGGCAAAAGAATGGGAAAGGCCAAGATTCAAATTGAATTCAGGAGGTAACAAAAAGGAAAAGACAGGTTAATTAACCAATCAAAAGAAGTCTTGGCTAAGACTCCAAGCCTAGACCGTTTTTGTGTTCTTTGGGGAGAAAAATAAATATGGGGATATGGGGATATAGGAATATGGGAATATTGGAATATTGAATTATGGGAACAAAGGGTGTAGGGGGTTTGAACCAGCTTAAACGATTAAACGATTGAACCAACCAAATCTCTCCAATCATCCAAGTCAAACTAGGATCGAGATAAAACGATAGTTAAAGGCATAGCCGAATTGCCCAGAACAGCCAGACCTAATGTATGTATGGCGTTGGCGTACGTATTTGCCTTTGTGTTTTTCGTATTTGAGGCGTAAAGTTCCCGAACGAATCCGCGTAATAACTTAACCGAACTACCTATACCTAAAATAAAAAGCAAGAGTATCTCGCACCTGAAACTTTCATGTTGCTTAGAGGCTGTTAATTAGATCCATTATGCACTTAGTCATAGCAATGGATTACTTACTATGTAAAGCAACACTCACTTCAACACTTGAATTTTACCTCATAGCTGCATAGGTGGGTAAGGTACGAATATACATACATACAACACAAACAACGGTCGAGCAATCATCCCAAAAAACACATGCTGTGCGACGCACCCCTGAAGATCTTGGCGCCTGAGCCGCCAAGCTGCACTAAACCCCACACGGACTAGAAGATCTAGGCGCGCGCCAGAAAAAATAACATTAGAAACCAATGAGGACCGACTAACGTAACCCGCCTATGAATATAAAGAACATTGTCAAGTCGTCTCGTCTTGATTCTTAACCAAGACGCGCCGAGACGCTTGTGTGAATAAATGTAATACATACATACGCCTGGAATGGTGTGCATGACATACACTAACTACTTTATAAAGATGCCGACTCTTCCTGTTTAACTTAGCTAACTATGTGTTATTTATATGTGTCAGTGTTTATTTACGTATGTACGGATATGTATATGCATGATGAGATCTAAATCTCATTCGTTAATATGAAGATCTACCGATGTTTATTTACAGGCCCAGATTACTACCATGAAAGGCACTTGTATTAGTAAGATACGTGTAACTACATGGATGGTAGATTATGCAAGACCTTCTCAATAAACCGGCAGATATTTTAGCTACCTAGTTAGGCCGTAGTTTGGGAGTTAAAAACATCTCGTATTAGTAAATCGTATATAATACTAGAAACGTAAGATTTAGTCATGTTAGAAAGGAAGCCATGGCACCTTGGCTGTCTGCTCATTCATCTACTTAAAATTCATCACTTCGAAACTATGCATGTGTGATTTGCAACTCATCATTGCTATTTGTGTTTTCGGAGGAACGCTATTCATCCCATCCGTAGATGCTACCATGTCTATTCCTACTACCAATGCAATTGCAGGTTCCAATCCACCGGTATATATTCCCTTCCCTAAAAGTTTCCGGAATACCACGGCAGAGTATAAATAGGACAGACCTGTCCAGAACCAACAACAACCCCTTCCTTGTCTTACCCACAGAGCTGTGGCGTGCTACCACGTGCTGCCAAGATGTGATGGCAGATGAGAAAGGGGTCGAGTGTAGACGTACATAGTCTCTACATTACTTGAATGCCGGGTATCCGAAAACACAGAAGAGAAGTGAAAAGAATGGTAAATCCAATCGTCCAAGTAGACCTTGGATCGCTAGTAAGCACTCTTGCCTTTAGTGCAAAACTCCTAAGGGTACCTAGGTTTTACCCTTCCGTTTCCTTTATTTCCCATGTCAACGAAACAGGGTGAATGCAACCGACTTGTTTAAACTCCAAGTCCAAAACGCCTGGTTCAACGATGCTAAAGTGAAAGTCGTGAATGCAATGGATATCGTGTATGCTCGTAGTATGCCTTTGTTGCCAATGACCTTAACGATTGATATGCGTGGTTTGTTCCTGCCACTCACGCCGCTTCTGTCATGCGCAATATCGTTCCTCTTGACGATGCTGAGCTGCATGTGTATATAATATCGTGGGTATATGTATGTCCGTAGGCCGGCTAAGACCTGAAAAATAAGATATAAGATGTGCCGGGAGGTCCTGCCGGGAGGCGCACAAGTCAACGGTTCTTGCTGACCCTGAGCAGCTTTGTTCTAAGCCATAATATGAACATAGTCCACGTGCTCTGGGTCTTCCTCTTTGCTGTATTTCTGCGCTTGGTAGGCTGAAAGGGGACGCTCTGCGCCCCTCCAGCCTCGTTGCCAAAAGCAGGCGGGCTTCGCGCATCTAGGCTGTCATAGTTGCTACTAGCAAACTTCTCAGACTCTCCTAAGGGGCTAGGGACATTCTTTCGCGACGTGCTTGGTCGCGACATGCTAGTCCTAGAGATGGCTATGCTCGGACGGTTGCTACTAGTCCCGCTGAACTTCCTATTGTGCTTCCCGCGAGCTATCGCTTCCTCGAGTTCGGCTGCCTCTAAGCGAGCTCTAGCAGCCATCTGCTCCTTATGCGCAGCCGCTGCGTACCTTTCCTTCTCGAGAGCGCGCTTATTATCGGCTCGCTCGCGACGCTTGATCTCCTCTCGCGCATATTTCTCCTCTTTGGCTTTCTCCCTCAGCTCGAATTTTCGACGGGCTGCTCGAAGGTGTTCAGCGCGAGTAGCTGTGTCTAAATCAGACTTTGCGCGCAGGCGGGGGAAACCGCTTGCGTCGAACGAAGAGCGTAAGGGAGACATCGGGGTTGATGAACTGGCGGGCGATGCGACGTGATTTGAGGGAGTATTAGACGGAGATATAGGCGAGTCCGTTATTCGATCGAGTTGTAGATCAGATCGACTTGGGACATTAGGGAGGCGCGAAGACTGCGCGGGAGACGCTATGACGGTCCGTGAAGTATTTATTCGGAGGGGGGGTGGTGGGTGTTGAGAAGGATAAGTAGCTGAAGTATGCGCATTTTTTACTTCAGAAAATGATGAAGTGCGTTGTGTGCTTGCTAAAGATGGGCGGCGTATACCCAAAGTAGGTTGAGAATGTGAATGTGAGTTCATCTGAATATGAAGACTATTCCTATGACTGTGACTTGCGTCTAAGCTGTTGCTGTTGCTGTTACTGCAGCTACCAACGCTATTATCGTTATCATCGTTATCATCCTCAGTAATATCGAAGAAGGATGTTTGCGAATTAGCATACGATAAAGGTGGGGTTGACGTCCGAGGTGTCTGCTGAAAAGGATGTACGAACGGTGCACCGACTTGATGACGAGGACCGGAACTGCTGCTTGTCGCTACAGAAACATGGCTTGCACCACTAATCGATCTGGCATGATTATATCGGTTCGTACCAGCCTCGTTCAAAGTAAAGTTTATCTCCTTAGTCGACTTCTCTACTCCTGTTACCCCTTTCCCTCCTCCTACGCCTATGCCTACTCCTACTCCTACTCCTCCCACTCCTCCTACCCAACCATCGCGGGTCTGATATTGTTCATCCTGATCTATCCACGCTCTATCCAAATCTAACGAATTTTTCTCGGATTGCGACGAAAGTTTCTTAAGAATTGGCTTTACTACCGTCCTAGCTCTCGATTTGCTTATCTTATTGCTCGAACTATGCGATCCGAGCCCCGGTAGGCTATGAATTGATGCCATGGTGTAGATTGGCATGGAGACGATAGTGACGTATTCAAGTATGAATGTATATGTAAATATATATGTCTCACTACCATATACACGCACATATACCCGTTGCTATCGCGGGGCCAACGACGTACGTTAATAAAAACGTCTAGGAAGATAAACGGGATTGTTAGACGCGAAATAATTCTTTTGTCGCGCGCCAGAACAGATAGAGCAAAAAGGGGGCTCGCAAGGGGGCCCGCAAGACGGCCAAAGAGTCGGGATCACCGGAATAAAGACATTGAGTAGGACCGACACTAATAAGGGTCAGGTGCGCGACGGTTAGGAGGTCTGAATAATGACGATAATAATAACGATAATAACGATAATAAATCACTCAGTGGCTAAAGATGAGATGACTAAGACCAACGATAATAATTGCGGTCAAAGTGATATTAACAAGAAGTCTTTCATACAGGCTTCATATTCTCTGAGAAATAGCCATGAGTTTTTATCGTCTTTACCATGTGATAAATACTGAATCGGATGGATAGATAGACTGGAGTTCTTTGGGTGGGCCTTTGATTTGAGGGGTGGAGAGATTGGAGGGATTGTTCGGTCAATACAGCATAACGATGCGGATGGGACGCGCAGCAATAACCAAGCCAGCAAGCATCCAAAGCTCGGGTCACCTTGGGAGGGAAACTAAGGCGGTGAACGACCAACAGAATTAAAGGCGGTCTCTCACAATAATGCCATTATTTTCCTCAGCTGGTAATAGCGTTATGTATGGCGCATGGGTTTTTTTTAAATAATGAACAAACAGACAAACAAACAACGATGATGATGATAACAATAATAATAACAATAACAATGACGAGCGAAAAAGGTTAATGATTGACAACCAGTAAAAAAAAAACAACCACTACAAAGGCGAAGTAAATATGATGAGTAGATTACGCAGCCGATGCGAAACTTGAAAGAGGCGGGCAGAACTTAACAAAAAAGGTTACCTAGCCAACTTAGCGTTAGGTAACAAGGCGGTGGACAATAAGATAATGGAACAATAGTTTGTAAGTACGATGTACGATGAGGAGTTAGTAAGTCGGGTAAGTCGGGAGAATGGGGTAAGAGAAGGGGAAGGGGTAAAAAAGGGGGGGTACAGATGATAGTTCAGCCTCACGATTCCATTCTATTGTTTTTTTTTCTTTCTTTCCAAAAAACTAAAATCGACTAGAACGACTCGAGGGGGCCACGTCCTGGCCTGGCCTGCACGTGGTGGGGAATAGGTAAGTTATTGTGATAGAAAAGGGAAAAGGGGGGGAAAACCTAGCACCGTTCTAGCAATTTCTCACCTTCTAAAGAGGGGCAGAAGGGGAGAAGATTCGCCGGGGGCTGGGTCGGGGTATGCGGCGTAGCAAGGCCGGAACAAGGATCTAAGCTGTGGTATGCCTTATCGATTGCGGATTGAAGGGAAATTGACCATTGATGATACCGCATTCGAATAAATTTCCACATATTTCCACTGATCAACAGTAAAAGCCCTGGGCAGATCAAGAAAGTTACCTAGGTATGAATTCGGTTTGGTATGAACTGATCAATGTTTCCACTCAGCTAGGTGTACTTGCAGTAGTCAGCCAAAATGGAAAAAAAGGGAATCGGAAATCCCTAACCTAGCCTCTCTCTCTCTCTCTCTCTCTACCTTACCAATATGGACCCTAGGTAGGCTAGATTTCTCCTTATCGTCGCCAACTCCGAAAGAGGGGGAAATATGAGCTAACGTATGTTTCATGCATCTAACAACTGATGGGGCTGTTCGGATTTGAGAATTTAGCGTGGACAACGTAGATTAACAATGCAGGGGGATCTGTGTTACGGCGGGTAGATATCTATCTAGGTATATTAGGTGGAAAAATAGATGATGTTTAACATATGATGTTTTTACTCGTGAGTGTTATGATATGGGGGTAAATTTAATAGTATTTTTTATATATATATTAGCTTTTAACTTATACGGATATGTAGGTATACATAAGAATTCTTGATTCTACATAACTAGTAAAAAGGTTTCCAACCTACGATATCAATTGACTCTGTTCGTGATCCTGCCGGAAGCTACCTATAACTTGAGGTTATACTCACCTCCTCGTTCCCTTCCCGAGCACTTACTTATCCGGTCACCTACATATGACAAGTAATAAGCTCGCTAGCCCGAATTCAAAATCGGAAGTTAAATGTGCCAATTACAAGATTCTGATGGGGTAAGGTCGTCATTTAGAGTTGTCACTTACTAGATTGGCCGCGTAATTCGCTATCGCAAAGTTGTCGTGGACGCAAGTCAGTCGATCGAAGCCGTTTAGCTCAAAGGAACAGGCGGAGCCGAACCATGGAATGCTAAATAGCCGTTCACTTAGATTGCTGCACGTATGCATCCCGCTTGCGTCCGCTTGCGTGCTTTTCGATGAGATACCTATGTATAGAAACAGGCCGAGGCGGTGTATCGGTGGTAAGGTGGGCTTTCCCGGCCTAAACCGCCCGGAAACGGCGGACCCAAATCCCGTGAGGCATTAGCGTCTATAAGAGCGATATAATAAGTCGGTGACTGAAAGACTAGGTTTTTAAACCCTTCGTTGATTCGGAGTTATGCCGGTCGATAAATTCCGAGCTTGAGGTGGTGGCGTTCTAGGCGCATAAGAGATGATAACTATAAATGTCTCAATAGTCCGCTGAATGCTATGCTGATGAATTGTAATAAAGAGTATGTTTGATCTTTGGACATTTCAAACATGTCTTAAGGATAGGAAATTCGTATATATCGCATATATTAGACAATTCTTAGGATTATCTTTGGCTAATGTTAGCTATTTCTAATAAGAGAATGGGACATGGTAATTGGTAATTGGTAATTATGAGTGCTTGTGCAACTCTAGCGGTAAAGAGGTGTGTAAGAGTCTTTCGAGATGAGGAAATTGTAGGCAGCGATTCTTCCCGTGCTTCTAAAATTCCGAAAGGGGACATAGAAGGTGGTCTTTGACGGAACTTATAAGTATAACAGATTATGTTATAAGAACTTAAAAGGGGGAATCATGTCGACCAACCGGTAGTACCGTGTTAGATGGAATGAAAAACTCCGCGTTGGGTCTGCCGTTGGGTCTGCCACCTCAGAGAAAGACGGGATTTGTGGAGATATGGGTGGTCTGAGAGTGCGGTACGACGGCATCCGACGGCCCGATGGCTTGTCGTTACTCCTATTTCGTCCAGTTGAGGGTGGTGGAGGCCGACACGTCGGTCTCGCATAGCCCTTCCCCCCCTGACAAGTCCGTGTCGGAACACGCTTGAAACCATTACCGCCGACGCCGGCCCAAAACCTTTATCGGTAACGCTCGGTCGCTCGAGCCGTTGGAACCAGACGTCAGGTCCCCCGCTCTCGGAGTCCGGCCCGGCGGCGTTACCAACTTCCTGCATAAGGTAATCGTTCCGAACCACTCCATGCTTTGCTCGTTCGTCGCTTGACTGCCACGAGCGATGAGATCGGGCTTGACACGACACGTCGTCTTGATAATGCACTCGTACAGAACCACCACTTAACAGACCAGGTTTCGTCGGGAATGGAACCAAGATTAGAAAACACTGTCACAGATATGACAATTGTCGTTAGATGCAATGGCAAGATCCACACAGACACCTAACCTAGCATCTTGTTCAAAACCGAACGACTCGGAACGACTCGTTCGTAAGAACGGTATCTCCAGAGGTAAGTTACCAGGTAACGTTCCGAGTCTGTCACTTCGGAGGGCCGACTTATTAATGGCATGCACGGTTCGATATCACGTATGGTGGCGAGTGCCCAGAGACCTTAAGACCGAAAAGTACGTGTCTCGTAGTTTATCTTTTTTTCTTTTTCAGTCCATCACCAGTAACGCTTCAAATAAGACGTTTTCTGTGGGCATTTCTCGGAAAGTATCCAGAACAATTAAATCTGTCACGCGTCGTTGGCTTCGCTACGAACTATCAATATGTATAGTATAACTAGGTAGGTACCTAGGCTTGAAAACAATCCTCCGGGTTAGATATCCCGAGGGCGAATAGGATAGTACCTGTTAAAGCTCCCGAGTTTCCGGTTA